ATTATTCTTAAGCAAAGATTTTTAGTTTAAAATTAAATTTTTTTTTTTTCTTAATTCTATTAAAAAAAAAATATAGAAAAAATTTTTATTATTTAGATTCTATTGATTTTCATTCAAAATTGAAAAATTATTTTATTATTCAATTATTTTGATGTCAAATAGTCAAATCAAGTAGTAACTTATAAAATTTGAATAAGTAGAAAAAGATTTTTTAACTCTAATTTAAAATTTTAAATAGCAAGTAGAGGAAGCTGAAATTGCTTCGAAAGATTGCAAAGAAGCAGTTATTTTTTTAGGAGATACTGGCTCAGGTAAAAGCACACTTGTAAATTGGTTGAATAACGCTCAATTTGAAGTTGAAAAAAGCATATATGATGAAGATGAAGTGACTTTAAAAATGAAATCTGATTAAACTTAGAAAATTTCTATTATAGGTGAAGGAATCAAATCTGTTACTCTTTATCCATAATATTTTAATAACTAAGATTAAAAAATTTTGACTATTGATTTTCCAGGTTTTAAAGATACAAGAGGATGGTAAGAACAATTAATAATAAAAATGATGTATATGGATGTTGTGAAAAGACTTGATACAAAGTTTGTAATTGTGGTAGAGCAGCCAACCTGCAAATTTTAATCAAGAGGGGCATCCCTGTAAGAATTAGTTAATACAACATTTTAACCTCAAGATTGTGCTTAAATTGACTCAATTTGTTTGATTTTAAACTAATTTGGAGAAGGTGAAAAGAAGTTTGAAACATTAAAAACTAGAATTCTCAGCGACTTAGAAAGTATGAAAAGAAATTTGAATAAAGATAAGCGTGCATAATACGTATATGAAGCTTTTTAAAAAAATATTCAAATAGTAGGAAAAATCAATAACGAAGAAGATTTTAAAAGAATATTTAGTGATGAAAATAGAAAATAACTTTGGTAAGCAATAAAGTCAACCTAAAAAATTTAAATTAATTGTTAGAAGTTAGAATAGAGCTGGAATATTGGAGAATACTTACTTGTAATGAGTGATGAATATTTGAAAGACATCTTAAATTTTTTAAATAAAACTTGGACTCAAAAGGTTATTGTAGAATATAACTTTTAAATATTAAAACAAATGATAGAAAAATTAGAAATTAAGATTAAAGAAAATGCAGATTTCAAATATTTTAAGGAGATACCTAATTTTTTAGATGAACTTTGTAAAATATCTAATACAAATACATCTTAAGATATATAAAAAATCTAGAAAGATTATTAATCCTTTTTTGAATTATTTTAGTTTTTTGAAAGGTATAAAGAATTTATTCAGGGATATAAGAGTTTCGAGGAATATACAAAATAAATTCAACAGTATTTTACATTCACAAAAACATCTTTAGAATCCTAAAATGAAAAATTAAAGTTAATTTAAGAGCATAATGAATAATAAGCAAAATTATAAAAAGAAAAATAACTGTTAGAGAAAGAAACAAACAATATAAAAGAAGAATGTGCAATAGCAAAGCAACAATAAATAAAAATTTAATAAGATGTTATAGAAAAGTATCGCTCATAAATTGAAAAAGCCTAAGATATGTTTAAAGAATAGGTAAAATAAAATTAAGAGTAAACTAAAGAAATGCATTAATAGTGGAAATAATAATAGGAAGAACAATAGACAAAAAAATTATTGAGATAAGCAGAAAATGAAATAAATATGATTTTAAAGTCAATTATTGAAATTTAATATGATTGGGGTTAAGAAAAAAATTCAAATTAATTAAAAAAGCCAAATATGATGAAGCGGAACTTGAAAAATATATGGCGTAAATTACTGAGATTGTTACTAAAAATAAGTTACAATTTAACATAGATATAATGAAAAACTAAATTATAGTTCAAAAGGAAGATGATTAAAACAAAGAGATAAAATAATAAGAAGAATTAGAAAAAAAAATAATGAAAAAACGATAAAAATAAGAAGATAAAAAAAGATTGGAAGAATTTAATAAAAAACTATAAGAAGAAGATAAAAAAAGATAGGAAGAATTTAATAAAAAACTAGAAGAAGATAAAAAAAGATAGGAAGAATTGATTAAAAAACTATAAGAAGAAGATAAAAAAAGATAGGAAGAATTGACTAAGAAAGAAAAAGAATCGATTAAAAGTAAAATCGAAGAATTATTTGTGCAACTTGATCAATTAGAAGAAAGCTTTCGTATTTAAAATAAGAAAAGTTATATCTTTACCTATAAGTGTACAACCTCAGAAGAATAATAAGCATATAATCTAAAAACTAATATATAACACGCTTGTTAATCAGTGCTAATTTCAGAATAAATATACAGAGAAAGGTTAGACTCACTGACCAGACTTATATCAAAATATAAATGAGAATGAGATACTCTAATATATTTGGTTTAAATAATATAAAATATAATTTATTTTGATAAAGTTCAATAATGTTTTGAGCAATCTTTAACTTAATTTAGTATAGAACTTTAAGAAATTAAGCCAATAAATATAGCAAAAATAAAAAAAATCAAAATAATCATGAATTTATTATATTTAAGATGAAATATTTTTAGTGAATAATAATTATAATTTGTTTGTTAATTTAACGATGTCTAAATGGTTAGATGTGAGTTTAACTTGTACTTAAATCAATTTTAAATGCCAACAACCTTTATCAAGTAAAAGTGACATAGAATATTAAAGGAAGTCCAATGGATAGTGTTTTTGAGATTGAAGGAAAGAAATTATATTTGGGGAATATAAATGCAGCAAATGATTAAAAATATTTAAAGAACCATAATATTGGAGCAGTATTATCAATAATTGATACAAGTGAAATAAAGTTAGATAGATCAATTATTCATCTAGTACATAAAATCAATATAAAATTAGTGGATTGCAGCAGAAGATAGAGAAGATGTTCAAATAAAAATGTATTTTGAACAAGCAGCCAACTTTATTCGAGATAATTTACAACATACTAATGTTTTGGTTCATTGTTATGCTGGAATATCTAGATCAAGTTCTTTAATAATTGCTTATTTAATCAAATATGCAGGGTTTTCATTAAAAGATTCCATTATTAAACTCAAAAGTTAAAGACCACAAGTTGATCCTAATGATGGATTTATGGAACAACTTCAATAGTTTGAAGATAAAGTAAAAAACTCTAAATAAACTAAAAATTAAAGTTAAACTAAAAGTGTGAGTAAATTCTTAAATTTAAGTATTGAAAAAAATAATAATAATGGTTGCTAATAAAATAATATAGGAATATAGAACTTTAATATTGAGAGTAGATTGAACACTTGTTCTAACAAAAAAGAAAAATTAAATCTCTCAAATTTTACACTTCAAAAAACAAAAACATCATTTTTAGATAAAACTTAAAGTCCTAACAATCTCAGCACTTCAGACATAAAAAGAAAAACATTCATTTCTAACAATTTTTATGAAGATCCTATCAAATAATATTAGAAAATCAAAAACTCTTAAAACCTGTTAAATCAATAGATTTTAGGAATAAAAAATACTTATAACCAACATGGAAGATTTCATTCCATGAATTATTGAAACTTATATTTATTTTTATTTATTTATATTAATTTTTATTCAATTGAATATCATTACAAAATATAATCATACATGTATCTTACGTAATTCTATAAATCCAGCTTAATCTTAAACAGTTAAATATTGATGTTTTTCATTTTTTTTTTATAATAAGAATAATTAATTATTACTAATTTGCATAGCTTCAACAGGTCCAAACTTACCATAATCTAAAAATTCATTTACTATGAATTCTATATAAGTGTAATCTTTTCTTGAATCAATAAGATGTGCTTATGTATCTACATTCATCACTATAACTTTTGTATTAGGTAATTTATCAAAAAATCCTCCTACAATGAAAATCTATGTTGGATTTACTTACTAAGCAAAACTAAAACTAGGTAACATAAAATGAGGTTTCTTAAAGTTTATTAGTTGCCATTCATTATTTTTAAATTCTTCTACAAAATTAAGAGGTTTATTATTAGTTTCGATTCCACCATATTTGAAAATACTCGAATTATTATAACAAACCAAAGTACAACCAATTCCTGGTTTCTAACAATCATTTAATTTAATCCATTTTTAAGTTTATATGTTATAACAAAATGTATTGGCAGTCAACAATTAATCACTATATCCTGAACAAATATACAGTAGCTAATCGTTTTCTCTAATATATAATAATTTATCTACATATAACATATCCAAAACCCCATCTATTAGCATTACTTTAAGGTATAGATGTAACCTCCTTTAATGCTGGTATTTCATCATTTAATTCATATATCAAATGACTATTCATTCCACCTATTACAAATACTCGAAATTATTAAAAAATAATAGTCACTGCCTATTCTGAAATTTATTATGATTAAGATAGATCTAACAACTCCAAAAAGTAATTTTTCATGTTAAATAAATTCGATTATAATATATTTCTACTCCAAGGAATTCCATAAGCTATTGAACGAGGCTCAGGCACATTTAATATTGAGTATTATTTCCTATAATACTCAAATGTCTCTGAAAATGTTATTTTTAAATTATCTTTGATCAATTTTTATGGTTCCTAAATTGATAATAATTGGCACAACTCTTATAATTTAACTCTCTTATGAGGATCCTATTCAACCATACTTTCTAAGTATGATTTATATGTATCTCCATATTTAGCTTAAATTTCTTTGATACTTTATTTGATATCTTCATGTTTCTTTAATTAATCTATATGTTTTAATAAAAATAGCTATATAAATATAAGTCCTAAAGAATAAACTGCTTAAGAATAGATATGATTTATGTTTTTAACATCTTTTACTAATTCAGGTGATTGATAAAGTAAACTTTCCTTTTTTGCTTTTTCTAAAGCATGTTAAGTCAATAGTATTGGTATACAATTAAATTTCATACATGTATCAGAACAAATCAAAATGCAAGACATTGTAACTGGATTGAAAGTTACAATTTATTATTATTGCAAATAATTAATTGATAAAATGATTGCTCTAAAGAATACAACAATGTCTTCTTTAAGTAATTAAATTTTTTTAGACTAAATAAATTATTAAAATATACTTAAATGTTCTCAAGATATTGATTTAAATTTTATGAATAAGTGTCAAATACAAGTATAAATTTGTATAATTTGTTTAAATTTTAATCAATTAACATGTCGTATGTCTAATATAAATGAATAAATACCCATTTATCAATGCAAAGTAATCCATCTGAATTGATAATTTCATATTTATGAATTTCATCTATATATTTTAAATGTTCTTTTTCATTTGAGATTAATCTTTCCAACAGAAACATTTTGTTATTTTTCTTTCGATTGTAAACTTTAATGATTTTCATATTATAGTCTTCATCAATAAGTTCTTCTTATTCTAATCCATCTAAAACTCTATCAAAAGGAGTAAATTTTGAAATTTTTTTCTTAATCATGACTGAAAACAAAAAATTAAAATAATATTTTTTATTGCATCATAATATGTAATATAAATTGTTGTCACTTCTTCTAATTTCAACGATAGTATGGTATATGAATCCTCAATCATAACCAAAATTTTAGAGAGGATTCTCAAAGGATTTTAAAGCATTTCTTGACTAAAATTACAAGTTTTGGAGTTTCCATAGACCTGATATTATTTCTGGATGTTATGGGTATTATAAATCTTAATGAATATAGAGGAGCAGAAGCAAGGCCAAGTGAAAAACCTTCTAAAATACCTATAATATTTATTCATGGAAATAGTGATGTAGCTGTAGGAGATGGAAGCTATGGAAAATATATGACAGGATTTAGTTAATAGATTGAATATTTTTTAAGTTTAGGATATTAGAAATAAGATTTATATGCTACAACTTGGGGAGATGCTGATTCTACCACAGCAAGTCTTAATTATCATTCTGAGAACTATCTTAAATACAACAGAGCATTTGTTGAAGCTGTTTTAGAATATACAAAATCTCCTTACGTCAACATTATATCACATTCAATGGGTGTGACTTTAGCCAGAAAAGTAATCAAAGGAGGAACTGGTCATGATGAATTGGGTAGTGGAAGATACGATTTAGGGGATCCTCTTACTTCTCAAGTTAAAGTATTTGTAGGTTTAGCAGGAGGAAATTAAGGTTTGAGTTCTTGTTATACTTCTGGTACATCTTTACCAACTTGTGGATTAACTAATGGATTTTATCCAGGATAACCACCTTTAGTTGGAAGATCAACATTCTTAGAAGAATTGGATTCTAATTCTGCAAAGGAAGGAAAATATATCGTTACTGGGAGAGCCAATTATGATGAAATTATTGGAGGAAACAACCTTGTTTGGGGAAAATATACAACTAGAATCAAAAATGAAAATTAGGAAATTGTTTTTAGTAGTGCAAATATAGGTCATTTTGGATTAAGAGATGAAGCTGGACCTGATATTTATGCAATCCTAAAAAAATAAGATGCTATAAATTAATGAAATCAACAATTATTTCATTTATTATTTATCTAATAATAATTCTTTATTCTTTCTATAATACTTATCACAAATTAATTTACTCTTTTTAAATTAATTTTATTTATCCATGAAACTAAAATTACTGTAAACCATTATATTATTCTAATTCTGTATCTTATTGTCCAAAAAAAATATTACTACAATCTGTTTAAATTTAGATATCAAATATATTATTATTAAACCTTGTTTTTCTAATCAAAATTATTCAAATATTTACTTTTGAAATTTGCTTGTTTTTATAATTTTAAAATTTAATTATTATTTGATTTTGGTATGAGAACCTTTGACATGATAGCAAGTTTATTGTTCAAGAAAATTTATATTTTACATCCATAAAATTTTTAAATAATTTTAACTATGATATCATCAAAACTTAAAATTAATTTGGAATTATTATTAATCGATGATTATTTAATCGTAAGCTCTTACATTTATATATCAAATTATCTTAAAATTCAATTTAAAATACCTTCTCTCCTATATATCAGTCGCTAAATAGATTATAAATAAATAAGCCAATCATTTCTAATCAATATAAATTCTTAACAAAACAAAGATTATTGTTTTTTTAATTTTATTATAAACCTTGGCTAATATTTTAAATTCAATGTATGTATAAAGTAAAAATAAACAATTTTTTACTGTTTCTCAGTACTCACAATTCTAATAAATTCTTTCACTTTATTTTCCATGAATTTGGTTTTTTTCTTATATTAAGGATTTTAAAAATAATTTATTGAATTTATAAAAACTGGGTTATTAGATTTATATAATAAATATTGTTGTTTTTTTCAGTTCTTCAAGTTTACAATTTTCTTCAATTAGTATGATAAATTGATCTGATAATGGCTTGAGCATCAACTTTAAGAACTCTTTTCTTAATATAAATTCAAAAATTTTAATTTTTCACTGATCCTTACAAAAAACTATATTTTGTGTAATTCATATCGTATAGAAAAAGTTTATGAAGACTAGGTTTTACTTGAAGAATGAACTTGTAAATAAAAATTGCTTAATAATAAGCAGATAAGCAGAAAATAAAATCAATAGAAAATTAAATCCAACTTCACGATCTTCTTTTAAACTTTTAGTGTAAAAAATTATTCCATTCGTGAAGTTAATCTGTTAGGATTACATACTCGCATCTTTTTTTGATGTTTTTTGTTTTTTTCCCATGATGAGAGGAGCATCCATAAGGATGTTTATGATTCGATCTACTAGTTTCTAAAGAAATTGGAATCATTTCTTCTTCTTCTACTATAGGTTAAGTGTCTCCAAAGTTTTATAAAAAACTTAAAGGTGATCTTGTTACTTTTTCCATCAACAATAACAATAATAATTAATTATTCTTAAAATTATCATTGAGTTCGCTCTTTAAGTGTGGAATTACTCAATGATGTATCTTTTTGTAAAAAGCTTCATTAGAATGATTTCTAAATTATGGATATTTTAAAAGAAGTATGGAACATATTTTAATATTCGAACTACAACTTATAAATTATTTACTAGCCAAATATTAAAAACTATTAATAAAATAAAAAAATGGAAAGTAAGCAACTGCTGTAAAAAAATGAAAGTCTAAACTTTTAAGATGTAAATTCAATTTAATATTTTGCATTATGCCTATATTTTCTGAATGTAAGTTTTGAAATTGAAAAAAAAAAATAATGAATGTTAAAATTATTTAACGCACCTTATTATGTGAAAAATTTATTATAGAAAATAGCCTTAATTTTTTTTTTCATTGATTAGACTTTTTTCTATAATTATTGTTAGTAATTAAGTATTATATTTAAACATAAACAGTTTATATAATCAATCAGCTATAGAGTTATTTCCCTGGATTCATAAAGTCATCCCATTTCTATGATGATGTACTTGGTCTGGGTGTTAAAATTTATGGTGTAAGTAATTATTCCATAAGATAAGTTCATCAGTTATCACCTGAATACTTTTTTTCCTTCTTTGTATTTTATTTTTAGAAATTTCAAGGGCAATATGATGATTTAGGTAGGATTTTTAAGGAGGATCTGATTATTAGTCATCCTCATTGATAGGACTAGTATCTCCATTTAAAATGAGTTTAGTAATTGGATTATATTGGATAGTCTGCATCTATAGCAAAAAAAGTAATGTTGTATTTATGATATTAATTTAAATTACTGTTGCTTGAATTAGACAAGTTCGTTTAAAAATTATAAAGATTTGAATCAAATTTATGAAAATGATATTTTAATTTAATTTTACTACGCACCATAATTTTTTTTGAGAATTAAGTAAAGTTAATTAAACAAATAATATAAATCAAAAAAATCAAAATAGTTTCTAAAAGAATTAATGTTCTAGAATTTGTTTACAAGTAATTCTTTAATGATGATCTATTGTAAACATCAAGTTAAGAAGATTAAGAAGATCTTAATCTTCGATGATTTGATGCAATTATTTTTAAGGTTAGACTTTTGGAAGGGAATTAAATCTAGTTTTATATTTGGATCGCTATTTCATGTACCATGGTATTGGTCCAAAGATAGATTGTATAATAGCCAAATGCATTAAATCGTTATTGCCTACTTTAATAAAAACTCTTCCTAAATTGTTGTTTGTTTTGAGAATATACCAGTGTATAATTCTACTATAAGGCAAGCTAAACTCCAGATGTCACTTGATGTATCCCAGGTATCGCATCGCATGATAACTTCAGGTGCTCTGTATTATCTAGTATTGATGACAGTACTATGATGTTCATTGGCTTAAGTGGCACCTCCCATATCTATTAGTTTAACTAATTTTCTTATTCATTTAATTGATCTGGGTACTTTTGTTGATTGGCAAAAACAATGTTTTCAGGCTTAAGATCGGTATGTGTAATTCCATGGGAATGGATAAACATTAGTGAGGTAGTAACTTATTTAAAGATTGATTGGATTTCCTTAATGTTAAGTGAGTGTGATTGGATATATTCATGGAGATTGATGTCAAGCTGTTTAAATTGTTGAATATGCTACCCTTTCAAGTAAAATACAATGATAGTCCTACCAAGTAAAGTAATCATAGAATTTGACAATACCCGCCTCACCCAAGGGGTCAAGTAACTAGATTTATCTTAAGACATCCACTTCTGTATGATCAGTTTCGCTCAAGATCTGAATATTAATCTAATAACTTTCACAGCATATGTGTTTGCTAATTCGTCAATAACTTCTAAAACGATTCCAAATGTGCCCGAGCATAAATATTGAGTGATCAAATATTTGTCAATTTTGTCTCCAATTTGATAATGAAAATGGCATCCACTACTTGAAGAACTTCCTGAGGAACTACCGCTACTAGATGAACTAGAAGAAGAAGAGCTGTTGCTACTACTACTACTACTATCTGTAGTTGATCTAGCCATCAATCTACTTTTAAATAGTAATAATCACTTTAGTTTTGAAGTGTCTCTACTTCTACTTCTAAATTTGTATTGTATTGTCTATGGTTCTGGTGTTTACATTTCTAAATTATTTTTTATTTTTATTAATGATTTTAATGAACTCATACATTAGGTTTAATACCAGATACTGACTATCTGACACTTGAATCTGAACTCTTTATAATAGATCTCATAACACTACTATTTGTTGTCACAATCTCTAATACATTTTAATAACATACCTTTTATTTTTTTAATGCTTCTAATTCTATTTCTGCATTCATCAATTTCTCTTATGTCTCACTATAATCATGATTAATTTCTTAAAACTTTCTTTTCCATCCTTCAGCTTCATTATTTACTTCTTATATTCTCTATGTTATTACTTCACTTCTAATTTTTTCTATTAAAATTCTTAATCTCTCATTCTCAGCTTCTAATTCAATTATCTAAATTTAAATTATAATTACTCTTGTATTATCTACTTCTTTTACTATTTACACTTCTTTCTTCTTTTCAAATTCTGCTATAAAAAATTGTAAATATAGAACTTTATCTCTCCATGATGCTTTGATACAACTCCTAACCTTTTCCAACTGTTTATTATTATTAACGGCAAGGATTACATTATTATTAATAATTCTAGTTACATCCACCTAGGAATATAGATTATCAGGTAATCTATTATGTTTGCAATTAATAATTTGTGCTTAAAACTATACTTTAATATGAATTCTATTTTCCTTTTTTATGCCAAAATTAATATGTTTCTGCTCTTTTTGTTCTATTTTCATTTTTCGTCTTCAAGTAATCAAGACTTATAGTACATATTCTTTTTATGGAAGAGTTACTTATTTCCTTTCTTCTACAAACGATTCTTATTGAATTTATGTGAAATTACTCATTTCTTCAATATTTAATTCTTTAATTAGTTATGCAGAATCTGAAGGTATACTCTGTGTTTAAGATGCTGATATTATAGCATTAAGTCATTGCAATCATAAAACATTCTGCTATTAATGTATGATCAAAATGAGAGTCATTAGTAAATTAAAGCATGTCCAATATGCAAACAAACTTTCGATAAAATTATACTCACAGATAATCTACAAACATAATTCAATGATTATTCTATCAATACTCTACTCTCCATAATTATAGTGTAACCATTCTCATCTAATTATTTTCTAAAAAGATTCAAAAGATGTATTCTTTACAGATTCTTAATTCATCAAAAATAAAATTGAGAGCTTAAAAAATTTTAAATGTCCATTTACAGATTGTCAATATGATTAATATATTAACAACTTTAATCTATTAAAATTACACTTAAAAGTAGAACATTAGCCCTTCTATTGGTAATTTATTCAATTTTATATTCTTAGTGATGTATGTGATGAACAAAAAACATGTTTTTTAACCGAATAATAATTATACACAGAATATTAAGTTAGACATCATATTAATTATGGGGATATTGATGAAGATTCAAATATTATATTTAAGCATCCCTATTGTAAATTTTGCAAAAATATCTTTACAATGAAGACAAGTTTAAATAGCATTTAAATCTTGTTCATATTAATTGTAGTTTATGTGAAGATAAAAAATTCACTTTTTATAAAGATCATTGAAGTTAGGAAAAATATCTTAAATTATCACATTATTTATGTGAAGTAACAGAATATAAATAAATTTTGGTTGTTTTTAAAACATTTGGAGAATTNCTCCTAACCTTTTCCAACTGTTTATTATTATTAACGGCAAGGATTACATTATTATTAATAATTCTAGTTACATCCACCTAGGAATATAGATTATCAGGTAATCTATTATGTTTGCAATTAATAATTTGTGCTTAAAACTATACTTTAATATGAATTCTATTTTCCTTTTTTATGCCAAAATTAATATGTTTCTGCTCTTTTTGTTCTATTTTCATTTTTCGTCTTCAAGTAATCAAGACTTATAGTACATATTCTTTTTATGGAAGAGTTACTTATTTCCTTTCTTCTACAAACGATTCTTATTGAATTTATGTGAAATTACTCATTTCTTCAATATTTAATTCTTTAATTAGTTATGCAGAATCTGAAGGTATACTCTGTGTTTAAGATGCTGATATTATAGCATTAAGTCATTGCAATCATAAAACATTCTGCTATTAATGTATGATCAAAATGAGAGTCATTAGTAAATTAAAGCATGTCCAATATGCAAACAAACTTTCGATAAAATTATACTCACAGATAATCTACAAACATAATTCAATGATTATTCTATCAATACTCTACTCTCCATAATTATAGTGTAACCATTCTCATCTAATTATTTTCTAAAAAGATTCAAAAGATGTATTCTTTACAGATTCTTAATTCATCAAAAATAAAATTGAGAGCTTAAAAAATTTTAAATGTCCATTTACAGATTGTCAATATGATTAATATATTAACAACTTTAATCTATTAAAATTACACTTAAAAGTAGAACATTAGCCCTTCTATTGGTAATTTATTCAATTTTATATTCTTAGTGATGTATGTGATGAACAAAAAACATGTTTTTTAACCGAATAATAATTATACACAGAATATTAAGTTAGACATCATATTAATTATGGGGATATTGATGAAGATTCAAATATTATATTTAAGCATCCCTATTGTAAATTTTGCAAAAATATCTTTACAATGAAGACAAGTTTAAATAGCATTTAAATCTTGTTCATATTAATTGTAGTTTATGTGAAGATAAAAAATTCACTTTTTATAAAGATCATTGAAGTTAGGAAAAATATCTTAAATTATCACATTATTTATGTGAAGTAACAGAATATAAATAAATTTTGGTTGTTTTTAAAACATTTGGAGAATTAGATTTACAGAAATAATAAAGTCATTGTAATGATCCAAGAATAAAAAAAATATCTAATTTAAATATTTAACAATTTGCAGGATTTTAAGAAGATTCAAAATAAAAAAAATAACTCAATGATAAAGAAGGAGAAGATTTTACAGATTAATTCATTTCACTTGAAAAAACCAAATTAAGAGCTGTAATGTAAATTGATGAACACAAAGATAAAACTATTGATTTTAGAGATTACATTTATATGCAAATCATAAATCAGTTCCATTCTATCTCTATGTTAATTTAAGCATGAAGATTTTGAGAGGTGAATAAATTCACAAAGAAAAAAAAGATTTAAATGAATGCATTTACTAAGAATTTTTTAGAATAATAGGAAACTTTACAATGTTATTTAAAAACCAGATAATATTGAAGCAAAAAGATAACAATTTTTATCTAAATAACATAATTCTCTTAACAAAAATGGTGTAGAAATGAATCCAGCTGATTTTCCTTCATTACGTAATTCTTTTTATAATTCTAATATGAATGTTAAATAAATTGAACCAAAATAATATTAATAGTAAGAAAAAAAATCTAAATAAAAATAATAACAAGGTTATACAATTGGTAAATGGTAAAATAGTTGAACAGCTATTGAAGATTATATATTATTAGAAAAAAAATACAAAAATGAAAGAAGTTGGTTAAATTAAGAAGAAGAATAAAACTATTGTCTAAATTTCAGGAAGATTAAAATGACTAATCTTGTTTATTGAAATATAAAAAGATTTGCTTTGGAGATACTTGTTGTATAAAAATATTATCAATTATTTATAATGTCCTTCAAAATATCTAAACATATTGTGATTTTAAGAAGTACAAAATTCATAAGATCTTTAAGATTACTAAAATTTTCAGTATCAGAAAAGGAATTTATTTTTTATTTTCTAATTATTATCAGTTATTGAAAAACTATTATTTTATTATTATTTATTAGTTCTCGTTGAATTCAATCAAGCATAACTTAAAATAAAGTTTATAATTTTCAAATAATTATTATCTTTCAAAATTTTAAGTTAATTACCAGTCAAATAAAATAGGTAATAGCAATCTTGTTTGTAATTAAAAAAAGGTTAATTTTTTTATTAATCAAAAATAAAAGAGTGATAGTAGACTCATTAGATGGGTATGAATTGATAATGATTAAAAGTTTGCTTATTTATCAATAATATTTCTTTTAAAATAAATTAGCATATAGATTATTTAGTTATAAATTTAAGTAATTGAATATATGAGATAAAACAAATAATTATTTATAAATGGATTTCTTATCACCAGATAATGCTTGTGGTTAAAGTCTACTGATACTGGTTGCAAGAGGAAGTGCAATTTTAGCTGAAATTTAGAGACTTTCAGAAAACATTCCAAAAATTATTACTAGCAAAGCTTAGGAATATAAAAAATATGAGAAAATTTTATTTGATTTTGAATACTTAAAAAAGATTGATATACTTGAAGATGAGATTTAAAGAAACTAAGTATGATAAAATTAAAATTAGGATATAAATGAATTGGATGAAAATTTTAAGAAATCATATTTACCATTAGTAGAAAGATTTTATAGATTATTTGAAAGCATCTATTTGTATTATTCAGATTTGATGGCATTTATACAAGAGTTAGAGGAAGCAGTTTTTATGTAATATTCAGTTGAGACTGTATTGTAAGACTCAGAAGGAAAAAGATTGTTTGCGGAATCATTTTATTTATATGGATGCATGTTATTATTGATGGATATATTGATTCCTGGAAAGGCAAGAGAGAAATTAATAATATCCTACTATAGATATAAAGGAGGTCAAACAGCAATTGAATTTATAAATGAAGTCACTAAATTATGTGCAGATACAGGATATTCTAAAACAGGAGCACGTCCTCCATTTTATCCTGAAGAATATATGGCTAGATTCTAATTATCAGAGAAGTTAATAACAGAAGTTATTAATGCTATAAAAGATGAAGACATTTATAAATTTACTAGTATTTATCCATCAGCAGATCATAGATCAATGGCTTTATCGGTGTAAGGATCAATGTTGTATGTATTGTTGTTTTTCACTCCAACTATTCTAAATAATAAAAAGGTAACAAAAAATAATTAGAATTTAGGCTAAAATGAGAGAAATTGTTGATAAGCATTTTTATGATTAATGGGTTATATCTTTCTATTTGGGTTACTATGTTGATTTATCTGAATAATGGAATCCATATCCTGCAGCAAGAGAAGCAATAAAAAATACAGTCACTTTTGAATATATATAAGATTTGGGGGCATTTTATCAATCTAAATTAACAGAATAGATTAATAAAGTTTAGGAATTTCTTTATGAAGGATAGATGACATAAGAATTCGTTTTGGATAAGATATCATCTTTAATGAATTGTGTTAGAGAAAGTAATATAGCAATTAGATGGATTTTGCTTCATTCTAATACAAATATATAGAAAGCAAGAGAATTATTAAATAAAATTGATAAATCGGAAGTTTTATAATTGCTTTTATAGAGTTCCAAATTCGAAAATCGATTATTAAAAGCAATCAAAGCTATTATTGATAATAAACAGTAGTATTGGGATGAAGATAAAGTTAAATGCGTTGAGAGAATGCAAGAATTATCTGATTACTTTTCTGGAAAGGCTTTAGGAAAGGTGAAAGCAGATGAATCATATATGTAATGGTTTACAGAAATGGGAAACTAAATCTAATCTTTAAATTATAGTGATAGTACTCATGCAGGAAGAAAAATACAAAGATTAATTTAAGCATTAGAAGATATTGAATAATATCCTCAAATTTCAACTTCAATATAAGTGAAGCATTACTTAAATGAAACAAGGAAAGATTTAACACATATGGTTAAAATAGTTCATATAAAGAGTACTTTGCCTTCACATATTTCATTTATAGCAGATTTTAGTTACTCATGGTAATGCTTAAAAGGATATAAAGATTTAATGTAAGCCAAAGTTTAAAGTAATCCTCATTCAGCATTAAGTTTAAAAACTACATTTTAGAAATTATCTTCAATTTTAAATACCCCTACTATTCGTATCATTTAAGCTGGAAGTCCAGATTTAAATAGTGTTACTAAATATTATTCTGGAGAACTAGTAAAATTTGTTAAGGAAGTACTTCAAATTATTCCAATTTAAATTTTTGAGGTACTTTAAGATATCATTACATTAATAACATCAGTTTTAAAACCATTACCTTCTAGAATTAATAAGATAGAATTGAAAGATTATGCTTAATATGAAGATAGAACACAAATTGCAAAATTAACTAATTCTATTTCTGTCTTTACCGAATCAATTTTAACAGTTGATCCATATTTGTTAGGATCTATTGAAGTAAATCCTAGAGATATGCTTGATCAAGGTATTAGAAAGGAATTGATGGCGTTGATTCATAAAATTCTTGATTCATAATTAATATTCCCAAAAAAAGATATTTCAGATTTCTAATCTAAATTATCTAAATTGGGTGAAGAAATTAATGGATTTAAATTAGCTATGGAATAAATTTAAGATTTTGTTAATGCTTAAGGATTAAAAATGTTTACTGAAGAATTTAATAGATTGATAGAATGTTATACTTCAATGGAACTTAAAGGTTTAATTACTGGAAATAAAGAATTCGAAGAGTTGAGTTATGATGAAGATATCCCAATGCCAGATGATAAAAGTAAATAATATGGAGCTATTAATTTTATTGGTAGATTATTAAATTAAATCATATCCATAACTAATCCTAGAGAAATAGTATTTGTAGAATCAACACTTGGATTTTATGATAGTAATGGAAGAGATGTATTGAATCTAAAAACTATTGGATTAATACTAAAATGTATAGGAGTCAGTGGATTAAATGGAATTGATTTACTTATTAGTCAACATTTATCAAAAACAGTCAAAGATATTGTCAAAATACTAAAAACAGAATTAACTCAGGAAAATAGAAATATTATTGATACTTTAATTAAATAGGTGAGATTATTTACTAATTATGATGAAAATTATGATAAGGTTTATAAATAATTAACTAAATAGTTTAGATCTCTTATATCTAAAATATTATATCCCCTCTAATAAATTGGATAATATATTAATTTAAGAAAACTTATTAGTTTGGTTCTTTAAATGAAAGCTAAAGTAGGATCAACTAAATTATTTTTATGTCTAGAAACCCTTAATAATACTATAATAAACGATTTCATCAATAGATAGTATGATTCTACCATGGAATCAGATGTTAAAACTCAAATGGAAAACAATTTGCTTTTTGATCTTACAAAATTATTTAATTATGTAGGATTATCTGATCCTATTAGAAAAATATATGCATTATGTGAAATGCCTGAGTAAGGATATATAAAATATAATTAGACATACTCCATTAATTTTAGCTTTGGTGATATTGCATTAATTACCTATAATAGACTTTGATTAAAAACTAAATTGTCTTATAAAGAAAGCAAAAGATAATCAATTATAATATGAACCAAATTGTTTATTGATAGGAATAGTAGGATTTTTGAATTAATTCAATTAATTGCATTCATCTTTATTTGTTTCTTATTTAGGGTAAAAGAGTTCTATAATATATTTAGATTTTATATAAAATCAACTATATTCTTTATGTTACAATCAAAAGAACTACAGAAATAACCAGAAATTCTTGGGGATTTCTTCATGTTATTGACAGTAATAGAAGAAATTTTCAGAATTAGAGAAGAAAATTATGAAGTAAAGAGTATAAATTAATTAGAATTTTAAATAATTAATTCCTTTTGGATTATTCAACTATTTAAAGAGAGAGATGATAAAATGGTGAAAGAATGGTATAAAAAAAACATAATTATTAAAATAATGAATATTATTTTAATTATAATTGTATTATTTTTTAAAATTAAATTTTCTGAATAAATCTAAAGAAATGTAAAATAAAGATAACAGTGAATAGTATAAACTTTTACTAAAGTTAGTGATCATTTATTTAAATTATTACTTATTGGTTCTAGTGGAGTTGGAAAATCGTGTATGTTAATGAGATATGTTGATAATAATTTTACTAATAATTTTTATAATACAATAGGAGTGGATTTTGTAATTAATTATATAAACTAAATAGAAAATCAAATCAATATTCTTAGAGAATAAAAATATAAAATTGTAAATAGTAAAAATATATTTAATAATTTTAGTGGGATACAGCAGGACAAGACAGATTCAGAACAATCACATGTAATTATTATCGGTAATGATTATTGTTAAAAAAATTAGAGGAGCTCACGGGATAATTATAGTTTATGATATAACAGACAGAGAATCATTTGATTCTGTGAAGATGTGGATGTCTGAAATTGATAAGTATTTTTATCGTTTTCAGGGTTTAGATATGCATAAGATGATGTGATAAGAATGTTAATTGGAAACAAATGTGATATGGAAGATAAAAGGACTGTGTCATATGAAGAAGGTGAAACTTTAGGTAGCAATCTTAATGAATTAAAGCAAAACAATTAAAATTGTAATTCTTAGAAACTTCAGCTAAATAATCAACTAATATTGAAGAATCATTTTTGACAATTGGCAAAAATATTCTAGAGAAAAGTTAGAATTCTTTGAAAGCAGATTCTAATTAAAATATAAAAATGGGATAGATAGTATAAACTTAGATAGTAGGTGATAGAAATAAAAAAAGTTCACAATGTTGTTGAAATATAATAATTAAAATTAAACACGATTATGTTTGTAATTCGTTTCTTACCTTTTCTACTTCTCTTCACATGTTCAATAATTGTAGAAAGGCCTATTACATAAATATCTTGGTGTGGAGCTTCTATTATTTATACAAGAGAAGATGAAACTATACCTTAATTTCAAGGGTTAGAAGAAGAAAAAACAATATTCTTCATTACTGAATCTCATCTTATATATTAAAGCAATGGAACAGGTTGGAATTAGATTGAGGGTTTATTTGAAGATATTTAAGTATCTCCTGCAGATTCACGTGTTATTTATTTATTTGGTTAATAAGGTTAGAAAAGCTATAGAACAAATGATTGTGGTGAAAATTTTGAAGAAATAGACACAGAGGGTTTCTATGGATTTAGATTAAATAAAATGAGTTGGAAATGGATGTTAGCATTTAAAAAATAGTAATGTGATCATTTTGACGTGGATTGTAGAGAGCCATATAATAATTAATTGTTTTATTCTGAAGATGGAGCAAAGACATGGTTACCATCATTTAAAAATTGTAGAGAAGCATCATGGGATAAAGTTATAGAAGATATTACAGTTCCAGATGAAAGATCTATTGTATTATTTTCTTATGAGAATTAAACTTAATTGATTTACTCTGATGATTTTACTAATTATCATACTTTAATGATTGGAGCATAAGGATATTATTAAACCTCAAAATATTTATTTGTTTTAACATCTTCTAGTAATGGAGGTTATGAATTACATTATGGTCATTCTAAATTAGAAGAATTTTAAGAAAAATTAGTAGAGTTACCATTGTAAATTTTAAAAGAATATTCATATACAGTTTTAGATACAGAAAATGGTAGAATATACTTATCTGTTTCTCATTATTAATAAGAATAATCAATAACTAATGTTTATATTAGTAATTAAATAGGATAAGATTTCTAAATTGTTTTGACAAATAATGTTAGATCAACTTAAGATGGAAATTGTGATTTTGAAAAACTGTTAGGATTAACATCAACTTATGTAGCAAATACATATGATTAAAGAGATTAAAAAGATAAATCAACAGTCATTAGTTTTAATGGAGGAAAGAAATGGGAATCTATAAAAGCTCCAAAGCATGATTCTGAAGGGAACGTAGTAGAATGTGGAGGAGAATGCTCTTTACATTTTGTGGGAAGGACTGAATCTTATAGATAAACAATATATACAGTAGATTAAGCACCTGGTATAGTTTTAGGAGTTGGAAATGTTGGATTATTTATAACATAAGAATAAAATACATATATGTCAGCAGATGGAGGATAGAATTGGATTGAAGTAAGAAAAGGATCACATGTATTTGAAATTGCAGATTTTGGTGGAGTTATTGTTATGGCAAAAGATTATGAACCAACTAATGAAATCATTTATTCTATTGATTATGGTAAAACATGGAAAACTAAAATCATTTATGACGATTTATTTATGGCCCAAAATTTAGTTACTGAAGCTTCTGGTACAGTTAGATATTTTCTTATTTATGGTAAAACTGATAAAGGAGAAGGCATCATTTTAAAATTGGATTTTAGTGATATCTTTCAAAGAGATTGTAAATCCAATTTAGATTATGATATATGGAATTCTAAATGTATAGATGGTTCTTAGACTAAATATTATAGGAAAAAAGAAAATTCATAATGTTTTAATCCTAAATAGATGATTACCAAAAAAATTATTGAACCTTGTCCTTGTAAAAGAGAAGATTGGATTTGTGCTTCAGGATATGCTAGTTAAATAGAAGGAGGAGATTGTTTACCTATTGTAAATATTTCTGATTACTGTGAACCTGGCAAAACATATTTTAAATCATAAGGATATATTAAATTAACTTCATGTGTAGGAGGGTATATTTTTGTGTAATTATATTAGTTTAGATTTAGATAAAATAGAAACTTATTGTCCTAAATCTTTTAACTTTTAAGACTTACTTATATATTTAATTGTAATTGCATTCCTAGTTTTTCTAATTTTCATTAGCTATGCAGTTATCAAAAAAATTTTGATTGGTGAAAAAAATAAAGTTAAGAATATCAATTAATATAATTAAATGGAGTTTTAAGAAGATGATGATGAAGAAGATTAATAATTATGAGTTTATATGTTATTATCTTAGATATATATATAAATTGATTAATTTCAATTTAAAATACGAACTTTATCATTATTATTTCTTAAACAAAGCACTGGATAGAGTTCTATGTCATCTTTATCAATATTATCATAAGAAATATTATATTTAAGATATTACTAAGTTATGCAATTTTTTATGCTAACGAATTTATCATTGTAAAGCAATTCTAATTTTTGGCCAATAACGAAACCAAAATTTTTTTTTTTCCCATTCTCATCTTTATTTTCATTTATATATACAATGCCATTTGCACAAAATAAATAAGATTAATGATTTAATTTTTAATAATCTTTTGGATTAAATATATTTTGTCTTTGTGTAATACCAATACACACATTTAAATCAGAAATGTGGAGAAATTCTATTTCAATAGGTTTATTTTTTGAATTCTTAATAGCAACAAATCTATCAATTTTTTTGTTATCATTTTAATTTATATTTATCAAAGCAATTTTTCCATCATTTATAACATCAATATCTTTATTCTTAAAATATTTGGAAAATTTAATCTATTATTGCATTTGAGACATTAAACTAACTTATTATGATAATTCTTCACAAAATGTATATAATCCCTTTATTTACCTTTATTAATCTGAGATAATTTATTTTAGAGTCTTGAAACACTTAGCAATAGTATGATCCTTTAAATCTTTCCTTTAAATCAATTATTGGCAATTTTCACATTCAATTTCAACAAATTAACATGATTATCTATGTTGTATCATAGAAATTCTTTTAAGTTGTTGCTAACAACCAGAACATTTGACAAAAACTTCTAAGCAATCATTTTTATCATGTTTTTCTACATCTTTTAATTTGACATTAGATAAACATAATTAGCATTATTACTAAAAAAAATATTTAATAAATTTGATACAATATTTTCAGGACAGGAATCTATATGATTTTACATTAACAAAATGGGAACTTCGGATGAACACTTTGAACATTGAACTTTTCTTTCTAAACATTCATCTTATTCGTGATGTTCTAGTTTTTTTCTTAATATCTCTTATGAACACCATTTGCATTATAAAAGTTTAAAAGGACATATATTATCATGTTGATTCTTATCTTTTAAAAGAATATCCATATTGCATCCTTCATATTCACATTTCATTTATTTAAACTGACAAGATTTAATATGAAAGAAGTACTCTGAATATTTCAAAATTCCTAAGCATCCATTTTATTTATAACAACAATAGACATCAAGATCATTAAGCATATTTTTTAAAATACGCTACCCTTACTTTTCTTTTAGCTTATTACATACAGGACAACTTCGTGCAGATTAGTTCTAACTCCAAGTTGTTAAACATGTTTAACAAAAATGATTTTCACAACTTTCACAGCACATTGGATCAATGAATATTTCCAAACAAATCATACATTTACAAAGCTCTTCTATTTAAGGACTTCTGTTAACTAACTAATCAAATCTTAACACTTACATAATATTAATTATAATTAATAACAATAATTATGAGTGTATAAGAATTCATTGCAAATAAGAAGATGTTAGATGTAGAATGGAGATTTTCAAGTATACTTTCTTAATTATTTTAGTTGCTACTGCTAACAGTTCTAAAGAAAACTATAGTGATTGTTTTTTATAGCTTAAGATTAAAACTATTGATAAAAATATGATTGAAGAAACCACGCATTTTGAATTAACATTAGCATAATTTAATGAGCTATTTACTGAAATTGAAAAGGTAAAGAATCTAATGAGTTTAATTAAATGAATAATATAATATTATAGAATCCAAATACATTTAATGTATATGCAAAACATAATTAATAACAAAATTTATGAGGAATGTCTTCATCAAATTAATCCCATTTCTTCAAGAAGATCTAATATATCCTAAGTCATTCTTGAAACATCATTTAATGCACTTTCCAATGCTATAATTTCCTTCTGATTCTTAAATTCAGTTACAATAGCTTGCATATATAATTTATAACTGCTATCTTCTTTTTTTCTTACATCATTAAGCATTTATTTAAGTGTTGGAAATAATAAAAACTTTTATTTACTATGTCCAATATTTGAAGATTTTGCTTGATGCTTACTAGATGTGCTTGAGTTTAGATCAGAATGTACATTTTACAATCTTAGAGATAATTCTGAAATTTCTTTTTTTGCATTTTCTCTTTTTATATTCAACTATTCTATTATCTTTTCTAATTCTGATATCTTTATAATTGATTATGATTCTACCTAATCAATTTTTCTAATTATTATTAAACTTTTACTTTTCTAACATGTTTATTACATTTTGCTACTCGTAAATTGTTAATTCCAATTACTAAATTCTGAGTTACTTTTCTTAAATCTCGAATTAATCAACAACCTACTCTTTTATATTTTATTATTATTCTAATACTTCTAATTTTAATTTTAAATCTTATAATTCATTATTAGCTTTACTAATTTCATTTATTAACTTAATATTTTATTCTTATAAATGTTATTTACTTGATTACAAATCAGACTGTAATTTTAAGATTGTATTTTTATCTCTTGTTCTTTTTTATTCTAACAATTATAATTTACCTTCTCTTTATTCATATTTTGTAGTCTATTATTCTAAATGCAATTTTAATTCTCTTATTTCATCTTCTAATCTTTAGCAATCTTTATATTTTTAATCACATTTTATCTTTTCTTACAACACCTTACTTTCTAATTCTTTGGTTTTTGAATTTACATCAACTTAGAAATTATTTGTTAAGGTAATTTGCAATATTTCAAGTTCTTTATTGTGTTCTAGTTACAATTAATGTATTTGCTATTCCAATTATTATATTTTTTAATTATTCTAGTTTTAAAGAGAACTCTTATGTTTCTTTTCTGTTTCAAGTGCTACTGATACATCATCATTCTCTTCCTGTAATCTTTAAATTTCATCACACATTTTTTCACACTAATTTCTAAGTCTATTTAATTCTTCTTCATGCTAATTGTTTCCTTCTGTTTATATCTAAAAATCCTTATGTTCTTTTGGTTAAAACTTTAAATAAATTTCTTTATATTACTATTCTATCAATTCTTTCTATTAAACATTACTTTCTAATTAAAATGTTATACAATACCATTTTTTATTTCAAGTTCTTCTAAGTGGTTTTTTAATTTCCTCATATTATCATCTTATTTTATTCTATCGTTTTCTATGAATTCTAATTACTAAAATACCTTTAAATTCATACTTATGAATATAAAGTTTATAAATGTTTAATAAATTTCTCTTACTTATTTATTGTCTCTTCCAATTATGTAGAATTCATTTTCCAAATATCACTTGAAATTTCGTACTCTCCTCGATTAAAGAATTCTTCAACTGACATTATTTTTTGTATAACTAAAGATTTCTTTTTTTCTTTTTCCTTGTTAAAATACTTAAACATTATATTTTAATTAAATAAATTTAACAATTATTTTAGATGGATACTAATAACTAAAAAGAAACTAAAAGACCATAATAAAGTATGTGTTTTTATATATAATAGTTCTTAAAATGGCAAAACTAAACAATATTTACAAAGAACCAGAAGACACATATGAACCTAAAAGAAGAGTCAAAAATTAAAGTACATTTTACACATTTAGTTTTAGTACAATATATAAATGAAGATTCTTCAACTTATAATGGAATGGAGTCTTTTGAAAGTTTGTAATAAAAGTAATCAAATGAAAAAATAGAAAAGACTCCTGAGAAAGTAGAAAGTGTGTCTTAAATTTTATCTAAAGGATCTTTGAGGGAAAGGTTCTCTAATCTTCATTTAATCAATTCTATTGATAAAATGCTTATGTATAGCAAATATTCAAGTTTATGTCATTTTTTCAAAGAAATTGATGAAATGCTTTTATTTCTTCAAGGTTAATAAAAACCGCCATTCTTAAACACAATACATGAATTATTGAGCCAAAATTCAAAAATCAAAGTCACATAATAAATTATTCAATAAATATTAGAAATCTTTCCAAATGCTTATGATGTTAATTGGACAATAAATGAAAAATTAATATAATTGGATAGGAGTGATTTAATCATTAAGGCAAATATAAAGTCTCATGTATAATTGGGAGAACGTCTAAATTTATTTAAACAACTAATGTTTGAATATATATAAAAAAATGGAGAATAAATTGGTTTAGCAGCTTTACCCTAAAACACAATTTAATAAAATTTCAAAGCTAAAACATAAGAAAAAGATACCTTAACTAAATAAATATAATAATAACCTTAAAAACATGAAATTTAAAGTTAAGTATCAAAAGAGCCAACTTATTCAAAAGTCAGTTAAAATTTAATAGAAAAATTGAAATAAAAAAAGAAATTAGAGATTGTTTAAACAGATCTTTTAGCACCAAAAAAATAATTAATTGCCCTATCCTCTTTAATTCATTAATATTTTCTTCTAAGAGATGTTTCAAATATGTTTTTATCAAATGTTATAAAATATACTCTAAGTAGTCTAAAACAATTTATGTTTGATGAAAATTAATTAAAAAATTATATTGATCAGTTATTAAAATTATGTCCACATTGGATAAAACTGATTGATAATCAGAATGGCACAATTTTGAGGATGAATAAAGAAATAGATCTACCTTCTATAATAAGATTAATTGAACAAATGTGAATATATGACTCTTTTTTAATTAAAAGTTTGAATTATAAATTAAAACATTACTATATTTCAAGAATTATCTTCAAGAACTATCAAAGATTCTTTAAGTTATCCTTTTAAAGACATTAAAACAAGTTCATATTTTTTCATATCTTTACTTAATTTTTTAGTTTAAATCTTTCCTATAAGAACAGAAATGGCAGGATTGCGTAGACTTTAATTAAATTAGGATTTGTATATTTCATTTAATTATTAAGCAATTTATTCTAATTTCCATTCATATGGAATTGAGCTAATGTCTACATAAATTTCTCGTTCATCAAATTGTCCATTAATGATTACTCTTAAATTTTAAACTTATTTCTAAATTTAAATACATCATTACTAATTCTTTTTCTGAATATTTAGACATAATGTCTAATATTTCTTCATTATCTTGTGATTAATTAGGATTTGCAGTTAACTCAAAAAAAGTGATGCTTTTTCTTCTTTTCTAACTTTGCATTTCACTACCTTAACCTTACATTTAATCATCCTCAAGCTTTTCTTCAATTACATTGGTAGAAGGGGGAGGACATATAGGCATTTTTATTGATCTTTTTTCATAAATAACACTTTTATTTTCTACTCTCTTTTCTGGAGCAACAGATGATCTCTTAACATAATTACTTGTTCTAACAGATGAGTATGTTCTTTCAACAATTCTTCCATCAACTGGGGCTTGTTTTTAAGGACTAGCTAATTTTCTCAAAGGTAAGGCTGTTGCAAAATGTTAATTATAAGATTATTTACTAAATTGTATTGATTAAAACTTACACTTGAATTAAAGGTTTAAGATGGGCTGAAGATGTACTATCATTTGCTGATAAATCACATTCTTTAGATTTATACTTGAAACTTTATGTTGTTGACTTTGCTCCTGATGCTTCCTTAACATATCGAATTCTTTAACCAGAAGAAGTGTTAAACATAGAAAATACTAGTTCTTATTAATATAAAAATAAATTACAATTTCCTTATGGAGTTTGAATTAACTGGAACCAATCATAAAGCTGTTCAAGGTTGGAGATTTGATAATAGTGGATAGGAACCACTTAAACAATAATTAATTGAACCATAAGAACCATAAATCTAAACATTAGGGTTTTTCGAAAAAATTAAGAATTAATTTAATGATCTTCTTAAACCACCTGATAAAGATGTTGAATAAAGAATTATTTATTTAGATGGAAAAGTCTACCCTTAAAACAATATGCCAAATATAGTTAAAAACTAAAAGTACAATATTTTGTCATTTGTTCCAATGGTGCTCTATCAACAGTTTAAATACTTTTTTAATCTAATATTTTTGATGATCACATTATCTTAATTTGTTCCATTACTAAAAGTGGGTTTTTTATTTAGTTATGTCGCTCCATTAGCATTCGTATTGATCTTAACCTTACTTAAAGAGGCATATGATGATTTTTAAAGGTATAAAAGAGATAAAGAGGCAAATTCATAAGAATATGCATAAATAGGAAAGGATAAAACTACATAACTCTAAAGTTGGTAATTAAAAGTAGGAGACATTATTGAGGTACATGCCAATTAAAGGATACCAGCAGATTTAATATTGCTCCACACAAATGATGTTACAGGAACGGTTTTTATAAGGACTGATTAGTTGGATGGAGAAACTGACTGGAAATTAAGGAAAGCAATAAGACATACATAAAATTATGGTCAAAATAAAAATCTAACAACACTTAATGCCTCAATAACTTGTGAACCACCTAAATTGGATATTTATGATTTTAAAGGTTTATTTAAATTAGAGGTAGGAGGTGGAGAAGGTTAGAGAGAAGCATTGTCATTAGATAATACACTTTGGTGTAATACATTTTTAGCTTCAGGAAAAATATAAGCTGTTGTAGTTTATACTGGAAAAGAATGTAGATCTGCATTAAATTCAAGAGAACCTAGGACTAAAATGGGAAGATTAGACAATGAATTAAATTAATTAGCAAAATTATTATGTGTCCTTTTAGTTTGTACAGCATTTACTATTGTATTAAGTAGTGGATTTTAAAATGAATGGTTACTATAATTATTTAGACATGTTCTATTATTAAGTTCAATTATACCAATATCTTTAAGAGTTAATCTAGACTTTTCTAAATTATACTTTTCCTATTGTATTTCAAATGATAAAGATATTGATGGATCACTTGCAAGAAATAGCACAATTCCTGAAGAATTAGGTAGAATATCTTATGTTTTAACTGATAAAACAGGTACATTAACTTAAAATACAATGATTTTTAAGAAACTATCATTGGAAAGAATGTCTTTTTCAGTTGAAACTTTAGGTTTATTAAAGAAAATGATTAAGAAACATTGTACTAATAGTAAATATCCAATGGAAGATGTATTGAAGAAATATTAAGAATCAGGAGGTAGAAAAATAAAAGCTTTCAAAAGAAATAAAGATTAGATTGTTAGAGATTTAATATCAGCTTTATCATTATGCCATAATGTTACACCAGTAGAAGAAGATGGATAAAGAACATTCTAAGCCAGCAGTCCAGATGAAATTGCTTTAGTTAATTTTGCAGAAGATGTTGGATTCAAATTAGTTAATAGATAGTTATAAGAAATAAATATTATAAATGCAGGGGGAACACCAGAATCATATAAAATATTATATGAATTTCCATTTACATCAGAAAGAAAAAGAATGGGAATAATTTTATAGATCCAAGGATAAAAAGGTGCAATATTTTATTTAAAAGGAGCTGATTCAGTAATGAAATAGAAAGTGCCAGAAGTATAAAGAGGATTTTTAATGGATGAATGTGAAAGTCTTAGTAGAGAAGGATTAAGAACTTTAGTAATAACTTAAAAGTATTTGACAGAGGATGATTTAAAGAATTTTACAACAGAATATGAGAAAGCAAAGAATTAAATGGAAGATAGAGAAGCACGTTGCTCAAAAGTATTAGATTTTTATGAAAATGATATGGAACTATTAGGATTAACAGGAGTTGAAGATATGCTTTAAGAAGATATTTATGCAACTTTAGAATCTTTAAAAAATGCTGGTATTTAAATTTGGATGTTAACTGGAGATAAAGTAGAAACAGCATAATGTATAGCTATTTCTACTGGTTTGAAAAGTCCAACTTAAGAAATGTTTGTGATTAAAGACATTGAAGATTCTTTAATTTTACAAAATGAACTTAATTAATTTGCTTTAAAAAATAATAGCGTATTAGTTATAGATGGATAATCATTAAAAATAGCTCTTGAATTTCAGCATACTGCATTTTTCCATGTTGCTTGTAATGCTCCAGCTGTAGTATGTTGTAGATGTTCACCAACATAAAAAGCTTAAGTAACTGAGTTGATTAAAGAACATACATAAAAGACAGTTTTATCAATCGGAGATGGAGGAAATGATGTAGCTATGATTTAAGCAGCAGATGTTGGAGTAGGTATAGTAGGCAAAGAAGGAAAATAGGCAGCTTTAGCTAGTGATTTTTCTATTTTGAAATTTAAACATTTAGCTGTATTATTACTATGGCATGGTAGATTATCATATAAAAGAACTGCAGTAATGGCATAATTTGTCATGCATAGAGGTTTAGTTATTGCATCTATATAAACCATATTCTCCATTATATTTTACTTTGTAGCAATCCCAATATATAATGGTTGGCTTATGTTAGGGTATGCTACTGTTTACACTATGTTTCCTGTTTTTTGTTTAATTTTTGATTAAGATGTTACCAAAGAAAAGGCACTCGAATATACAGAATTATATAAAGCCTTGCTTAAAGGTAGAGAATTGACAGTCAAGACCTTTTTGCTTTGGCTATTTAAATCTATTTATTAAGGTATTTGATTTAAATATATTATTTAGCTGCTGTCATTATGGTATATAGTTTTGCTGTTTTTCAAAATACTTTTCTTGATTTAGTTACAGTTACATTTAGTAGTTTAATTGTTGCTGAATTATTAAATGTTTTTACGGAAGTTAATAATTTTAGATTGGTAATGTTTTTAGCAGAGTTATTCACATTAGGAATTTATGCAGGATCCATTATTTTTTTATAGAGTTATATCAATTTAGCAGACATTGATTAAAAATTCATTATAAATGTCTTAATTTTAGTACTTATTAGTTGGTTACCATTACATATTGTAAAATTAATACTTAGAAAATGGGATCCATCTGAATCAGATAAGATTATGTAAAAAATTAGAATTAGAAAGTGACATAATTTATAATCATCTATTTGAATAAGTACTTAATATTCGATCATATGGCCGAGTGGTCTAAGGCGCTGCATTCAGGCTGCAGTCCGCAAGGGCGAGGGTTCGAATCCCTCTGTGGTCAAATTTTTTTATTATTTCTAGTTCTTTAATTCAAAGAATTAATTTTCATTATTCTTTTCTTATCAAAATTTATCAATTTTATTTTTATTTAGTGAAGCTTATATTTTAGTGTTTACGAATTCAAACTAATAATTAAGTTAAGCATCTTTTTATAATCAAATATAAATACTTATTTAAAAATAATAAAAATTGAATTGTAAATTTATAAAACAAAGAAATTATAAGACACTTATTTTTGGTTATAATTTTTTTATAATAATGCAAAGAACTTTTTTTACATTTCAAAATAACGATGTTATTGCTACTTATGTAGAATTAATGAAAAAATAATAATTATTAGATTTATTATAAAAAAATGAAAATGAATATGGGAATAATACTCATTTCAAATCCAAAGTTATTCAATTGTGTTAGTATGGATATTCTAATTGTAATCATTCACAAGTTCCATGATTGATGAAAATACTTCTTCTTTTGTTTATAATGCATTAATTATATTAAATTATTCTTCTTAAGCCATTTTATCAAAAACCTCTTAAACCTTCGATTAAAATTCTTATTTTTCATATCTCTCTGCTCCAAAATCACCTCTATCTTTTAGTTATTTAATTGGAGCTCTTAAATATATTACAATATCTGGTTTCGGCAATCCTGAATCACATTATTTACACCAGTTAATTGATAGTCCTTTTGCAGATGAGAAAGCAACTCCAGAGTAAGCATATCTATCACAGACTATGTTAATTCCTTTTTCTAAGGTTTCTATGATTTTATTTCTAATTTTTTTTTATTTGATACTTTGTTTCCCATCTATTTGCAGAAAATAATAGATGTATCACCTAATCATCAATATCTCTTTTTCCTTTTAAATAATCTGAAATGATCATTCCCATTGAAGTACTTCTGTCTGGAAATTACATTTTTTTAGCCTCAAGAGCCTCACATAATAAATCAGTTTATGTAGATTTGCCACATTTATCTAATCCTTCAAGAACTATGAATAAGCCTCTCTAGTTATTTTTCATAGATATATTAATGTTTTCAAACTAAAATTTGGCGGGATTAGAACTAGAGTTGAATAACAAATTAAAAGAATGAAATCAGTTTTATAATTACAATAATAAAATAATAAAGAAAATTATTAATCAGACATCTAATTTGAATCTTTTCTTAAACCCTGCCTTTTTTTATTTAGAATCCTTTTATATTTTCTTATTAATTTATTTAATCTTTTTATCATCTAAATCATCTTCATCAACTGCTGTTTTTTTAACTTTTTTTTCCAATAAATCTTTTAATTCTTAAGTAGCTATTCTCTAAATTAATAATATAGAATATTACATTAGCTTCTTAAACTCTTTCATAGAATATCATAACATCAGATTCTTCCAAAGTATATTAGGGTAATTCTTTTTCAATTAATTATTCTATTTTCTAATACATTTCAACATCATATTAAGTTACTAAACTAATAGCCTTACCAGATTTTCCTGCTCTTGCAGTTCTACCTACTCTATGAACATATTCTTTTGCATTTTAAGGGATATCAAAATTGATTACCAAATCAACAAATGGAATATCAAGACCTCTACTGGCAACATCAGTTGCAATTAATAAATTAGATTCTTTAGATTTGAACTTATTAAAAGATGACAATCTCTTAGTTTAACTCATTTAACCATGTATAGCTATTGCTTAGAATCCAAGATTTCTCAATAATAAAGTTAACTTGATTGCCATTTAGCATGTTGCAACAAATACAATTGAAGTGTTTCCTGCTAAATCATTTAGCAAATACACTAAATAAGTTTCCTTATATTTATCAGGAATGAAAAGATAATTTTATTGAAGTGTTGATACAGTTTAATATTTTGTAGAAACTTCTATTTTAACAGGATCTTTTAATGAAGCTCTTTATAATTTACTTACCTTATTTGTCATTGTAGCTGAAAATAAATAAGTATTTCTTTCTTTAGGTATGATGTCCAAAATTGCATTAATTTCCCTTTCAAAATCCATATTTAACAATTTATCAGCTTCATCTAAGACTAGAAACTTTAATTGTTTTAGATTAAATCCTTTAGTATTTTCTAAATGGTATAGAATTTTTCCTGGAGTCCCAATAATAATATGTGGTTTTTATGCTAGAGCTTTTGCTTAAGCTAAAGGATCCATTCCTCCCAAAATAACTACTGATTTTAATGCTATAGTAGCTCCAATAGCTTAAAAGTGTTCTTAAATTTGAACACATAACTCTCTTGTTGGAGATAAAATTAAAGCATAGTATGGTTACGGATTTGCTAATAAATGTTACAATATTGGAAGTCCAAAAGCTAAAGTCTTTCCTGAACCAGTCTCTGCTAAACCTATAATGTCTTTCTAAAAATTTTATATTGCATTACTTTTTATAAAGTATAGGGCAATGATTATTATTAGATTGGTGTAGGTGTTTTATATCCTAATTTTTCACATGCTAAACATAATTCTTCACAAACACCAAGATTTTTAAAAGTCACAGTATTATTTGTTTATTCTTCTTATTAATCCATAAATTAATATTTTAAATAATTTGTAAAATTAATAACATTATTTTATAATAATTCATTCTCTGTTAGCCATAACATCTTCTGAATATGTTTATTTTTCAACAACTAATTTTTTTCCTTAAAATCCTGAAACTTATCCAGGTTCAAATGGTGCTGCTCTTCTATTTCTATGATATTTTCTAAACAAATTGAATATTTATATTTTTATACATGAATTCCAATCTATTCAAATTCTACATTGCACCTTATGGAAAGTAATGATGTGGAGTATGAGATTAATTGTCAGTTGCTGGCTATTAATAGAATGGTTAAACAAAATATGAATGCCCAGTTCTAGATGGAAGTTCATCATAAACGTGAGCCATCCAACCATGCCAAACTGGTGGTACTCTATCACCAAGTGTATGCCATGGATTAAAATAGTCATTATATTCAACCCATCTTCTTTAATTTCGATCTATCAATTTTAATCAATTAATTACGTGTAACATCAAAATCTTCATAATATTTATTACCAAATTAATCTTATCCTACACATTATATTGGTCCATTCTATCCTCCTGCATAATGACTAGATCTAGATTATGCTCTGTGCATTCTGATATATGTTTACCAAAATCCTAATTATTTTATTATCAATACCTTCTCTTCTCACCAATGTCCAGAATTTCGGTGTTAACATCTAATTTAGTGTCCATGCCCAAAGACCCATTTTCTTAAATTATTATTATTTAATTAATAACTCTATAAAAATAATAAATCAATTTATTCAAAATCATAAAAACAAGGAAGATCAAAAATTTTAAGGTTTCCTAAAATAGATATGCTATCAACTACTAAATTTATCAGTTTTATCAAATTAAAGTGATTATTACATATAACATAAAGGTTTTGAAACAGTAAACAAACCATTTCTAATAAATAGTAAATCAAATGATACTAACTATTGAGTTAATCTCTTAGAATAAAACAAGCTCAAGGAAGAATACATAAAATCTAACACAATGATAATCTAAGATTTTATATTCTAATAGCTTATGGTAGAAGAATTAAATTAAAAATATACAAACTATTTATGATATTCGATTAATATACATATTGTATGGGAGTACTTTAAAACTCAGTCAATATAAGGAAAAAGAAAATCAATAATGGTAGATATAAATTTATCAATTAAAGAATCGATTGTATGCCAGATAATTTTGGGAACTTTACATGATTATGATATTAAAAGTTATTATTTTCTGTCTTATTTCATTAGAAGTAAGTTCAAATAGTTATTAATAATATTTTTACAATAAAATAATAATTGTATCAAAAAATTTAAAAAAACATATATATATTTAAAATTATGAAGCAATTCATACCATAAATAATGCCAGAGCCTTTTTAGCTAACCAAAAAGGATAAATGTAAAATTATCAATGTTGATTTTTATGAAATGTAAAAACTAGTTAAAATCAAGATAGTTATCTTGCTATGATTGATTCATCCAATAAATTGTATGTTTTTGCATTAAATACTTTGCTTCCAATTTATTACATCGAATTGCCTATTTAAGTAGTTAACATCACCTTTGGGAGAAAATCAGAGGAAATAGCTGTTTTTTCTGAAAAAGAGATATTGATCTATACATTAAAAGATGATATAATATTTTAGAAGAAAATGGAAATAAATAATTTAATAAAATTTGATTTCATGGAAAAAGATTATTTGATTCTTACTCAAACTCATATTTAAAACTCAATTATGTCTGTTGATACTATAGATCCAATTACATTTGAAAAAGTTCATTATTAAAAAAATAACAATTTATTGATTCTTTTTTAAGATTCTATTTAGTTATTTCAAAATTTAAGTTCATAAATCAGCTATTAATAGAAATTTAATATGAAATCAAAATTAAGGTATGACAATTAACAGTAATTAATTTGTGTTTTTGAGACTAATTAATTAAGTATTTTCTTTATTTTTCATGATTAAATTAAACACAGACACACTTTGCCTTTAAATATTGAAAAAATTTAAGATGGTTGCTTTTTTTCGCTTCCATTTTATAAATAACCTGGATTTTATGGAGATCAGATTTTTATTTATAGTATAATTTAATTGATAATTTTAAGTGGCTATGACAAGAGGTAAACTAGGCAGTTAATTTCAATTTGTAGATTAAGATGGAGATAGATAATGTATAGGAAATACATTTTAAGAAAAAAAATGTAAAACTATTATTCCAATTTCAAAATGGGGAAATAATTTATTAGTTTTATTTGAATAAGGTTGCTTAAACAGAATTAAATTATATAAATTTCCACAATTTGAAAAATTGGATTTTAAATTTTAATATTACCCAAAAAATGAAACATATAGTGAATAAGAGGATGAATTTGATAAAAAAATCAAATAGTCTGCTATCGAATTAAAATAAGAACAATTTTCATAAAGAATTCTTGATCCATATTATTCTTATTGTAATGAACTTGCATGAGGCAAAATTTTTACCAAGTTTTGAGTTTGAAAACATAGTTGAGTTTCTTAAATTTAAACTATAAATTAGTAAAATTAATTATTTTTTTTAAGTTTAATGATTCCTTATTATTATGGAAGCTTAATTATTGGTCCAAGTGGAGTTGGTAAAACAACTCTTTGTAAAGGATTATTTTAGATGATGCAACAAATATAAAGAAAATGCATAATAATAAATATGGATCCAGCAAATGAAGATTCTTATGAAGATTATTTGCATATTGATATTTTAGAACTTATTACAGTTGAAGATGTGATGAAAGAGTTTTAATTAGGGTATTTAGATATATATACAAAGGCCTAACGCTGCCTTATTATATTGCTTCGAATTTTTATTTGAGAATTAAAATTGGCTTTATAACAAATTACTATAGTATAAAGATCATTATCTAATTTTTGATTTTCCAGGTATATCATATATTTAAAATAGGATAGATTGAATTGTATTTAGCAAATGATTCAATTTTTAATCTTATTTAATCAATGATGAATAATAAGAACTAAAAATTATAAATATCATTAGTAGCAGTGTAATTGTTTGATTGCTTAAATTGTTATTAAGTTAATACATTTATTTCTGCAAGTCTAGTTAGTGTAACAGTATCAGCTAATTTATCATTACCTTATTTAGCTGTGTTAAATAAATTAGATTTAATTAAATAATACGGTGAGATGCCTTTAAGTTTATAATATTATTTAGAAGGAGAAAATCTAAAATATATGCTAGAAGTTACAGATTAATGCGATGAAGAAGGATAAAAATTTAAAGAAAAATATGGGCAATTAACATACAATATTGCTTAGCTTATTGATTCAAAAGAAGTTGTGAGTTTCGAACCTTTGTATGTAGAAAATAAAAAATTAATAATGAGACTTATTCTTAAAATGGATAAAGCAAATGGCTATTATTTTTTAGAAAATTTACCTCCAATATATAAATCTATACAAGAAGAAGTAGGAGAAGAAATAGATTTTCTACCAACTGAATTAGTGATGGAGTTAGAAACAGAATTATTTGAGAGTAATTGAAAACATAAATTTTCTTAATTAATTATAGTTCATTTATAAATTATATATAAAATCCATTATCTAGATTTTGCTTAAATATCATTTTATTTATAAAATTGGATTATCTAGTTTAAAATTAAAAAAAAACTAAGAATAAAAAAATTATTATATTTTTGACATATTTTAAATACTAAATTTATATGTTAAAATTAATTAGAAATGTTATTGTTCCTAATATAATAAATATAATTCAATCTTTTAATATAGATTTCACAATAGGTTCTGACTTTTTACATATTTGAACTGATTATTATTTCATATTATTCTGCATTTTTGATTTCCAATCTTAAATTTCATCAAAAAATACCTTTTCTTTTTAATTAAGACATTTTGGTGTATTTGGATTCTGAAGGACTTTTTAAAAAGGTTTATGAATTCTTTTTGAAGCAATTTATTATTCATTTTAATATTCTAAATTATAGACTCTTATCACATGTTCATTTTTAATTTATTTAGCTTCTTTTAAATCAACAGAGACTTCCTTAAATTATTATTTTTTCATAAATGTATTTCTAAAAGTGTTAGTTGTGACTTAAGGTTCAACAGATGATTTAATTATTCTTCTATTACTCATTTCTTATTTAATATTTCTTGAAATATACTCTTTTCCACTAAATCCTACAGCAGAATTAGGTCTTATTCTTTATAAGCGAATCATTAAATCTTTTGATTCATCTTTGATTATTCGTTAAACAGATGATTATGGTCTATTTTTTAATTATCGATGGACAGAATGCATATTTTCAATAGTATCTAACGTTATTATTTAAGGAACAATTGGTTTAATCTCTAAGAACTAAGACTCGTTATTTATTTCAGATCCTGATTCATTTATTATTTCAATCTTGCTTTCTTTAAAAGAACAAATACTTGGATCTTTTTTTGAGACTACTTTTGAAGATTATTAATTCATTAATAAACTAGAAGGAGTCTCCCTTTAAATTACTTTATCAGCTAAATAATCAATGACCTGTTAATATGTATATCTCTTTTAAATATTTTTAACTAAAACCCTCTTTAATAGTTGAGATAATATTGGAAATTTGGTCTAATCTGTAGGTGGAGGATCTCTATATATTATATTATATGCTAGAGTTTTATCATTGCCACCAATAAAAGGCATTCGATTGTTAGCAAGAAAATATCCTATTATACCTAAGCTCCAAATTCCAGAATGAATGGATTCTTTTCTCAGAACTTCTGGAGAGGCAAAAATTAATGGGGTAGCATTTAATGATAGCAAATCGATCTTAATTGAATTAATAACAAACCTTAATGTTTTTTTATTCATCGAGAAACAAATTTTAGAGAGTAACTGTAGCATTTATTCCTTTTAGCTCAGCGCTATTTAATGCTTATGCAAGTTATAAAAGTATTTATAAAATTTTTTATTCTCCATAATAAGCCCCTTCTTTGAGTAAAGACAAGTATTCACTATTTTATAAAATACACATCATTCCATTCTCTTCCCATCTATCAATTACGATGAGAAAATTTTGATGATCTAACCCCCATATTCTATCATCATAATCAGAAATCGACTACAATGTAAGAACATATTCTTTATTAGTCTTTTTTTCAATACACCTATATTTATTTGTGGCAAGCTTTTAAGTTTTTTCTAACTTTTATAATTGCATAATTATATATTTTAATTTGATATTATTTTATAAACTTATTTAATACAATAATATAATTCATTTTTTATCATTATTTTATCTTTCTCAATCTATCATAAACATCTCAAATTTAGGATTGATTTACTTATAAAACTTATATCGAAATTATGAAACTATTATATACAACATAATCAATTTTAGAATCCTTTTAATCCCCTTCTAATTGATATCTATATTTAATAATTGTTTAAAATAACCATTATTTTTATTGATAATTTATTTTCTCATATTTTTTTAAAAGAAATACTTGGATTAAACTATCATTAACTTCATCTTCTTATTAATACTATAGTCTCAAATTCTTTAACAAATATAAATATCCTTTAATATCTATCTATGAAATATTTAAAACTAAAATACAATGGAATTTATAAAATTTCTTTCCTTTGAAACTATAATTTATATTTACCAATATAAGTTTTCAGAACTAAAGTATTATTATTTTAATCTTATCATTATATCTTGTCATCATAATTTGATTCTTTGGTTTCAAAAGTTTTTTTCTCTCATTTTTATTATATTTTCTATTTAGCCAAATTTGAATTTTCAATTGTATTTTATGGTAAAATTGTAACAAAAGTACCGTTAATATCAAGATTAGGATTCTCATTACAATTTTTAATGAATACTATTGTTAATACTTTTGATTTAGGTTTATAAATTAAGAAAAATCATCCTCATTTTAATTAAATACTTAGTTGCCCATCTTTGTTTTATCTAAGATAAAAATAGAAATAGATTATTTGTTTCATCTTCCTAAACTATCTATTAATATTTCAGAAAAAAAAATTAAGTTTTTCAAAAACAAAATTTTATTTTTATTTCAAATTAAAACAATAAATTATTCTACTATTCAAATTTGAACTTGTATGATATTAAAATTATTCTAAATATTTCTTTTAGAAAAAAAAATTGAAAGCAAATGAAAAGTATCTTTTTAGTTTAATTTTTATGAGAAAAAAATGATCAATATTTTGTAATTTATTATTCAAAATAAAGATTACTTATAATCTTAAATAATCATTCATTAACTATATCAATCTTAATAAGTACAATCTCTTATTATATTTGATTATAAAGTATTTGTTTTACTTAAATGCTAAATTCTTCGATAATAATACTTAATTTTTAGAAAGCTTCATGTTAGCAATATATTTTAAATTATATTCTATTGGCAAACACTAATGACTAAATTTATAAGTCTTTGAGATTTTAAAAAATTGGCTTTTCACTATATAATTTGGAGAGCACTTTACTGTGATACTTAAATCTATTTCTTAATGTAATTTATTAATTATTGATGTATATGTGCCTTAGGTATTAAAAATGCTTTAGTTTTAGATTATATAAATATTGAAGTATGGATTTAATGTTGTAATTTCTTCTTATCTCGAAGTTATAATTAAATTTTTAAGTTCAATAGAATAAAAAGTTACTTGAAAAGAAAATGAAATCCATACTTTTCTATAAGTAAATGGAACAAAATATGGAAAAGTCCCTAATTTATAAATTTTAATACAAGTTTAAAAAGTATATGAATTATTGGAATAAAATATGGTTTGAAGCCTTATAGCAAATGAGTGATCATAAATGAATCCTTAATAAGGTGTAATAAACCAGGAGTTGACTTAAGGAACATAACCAAATGTAGAATTTTGAGAGACTGTCTCTAATCCCAAATCTAAAAATGCTTCCTTTATCCCTATAATTATTTAATAGCCTAAATGTTTTAAATTGTTCAACTTTTCTGTTGGATTTGATATTTCTACTTAAACAAAGGTTTCAGTAAGGTCTATCTTGAATAATTAATTACTGGCTATTGAAATAAGAAACTCTAAGGGTCCTTCAAAACCAAAACTTGTTAAAGATAAAATAGCAACCTAAGCATTTGGATTTTTATGAAGATGGGTTTAATTTTTTGGCTTTTCCATATTAAAAGAATTAATAATTTCTATTCTTTAATCATCGATAGCATACCAATTAATCATTACTGATCTTACCTATCCTGTTGGTAAAGGACACTTGACAAATAATATGAAATCTAAATCAAATTATTAAATGTAATACTAATAAGACTAATCTATTTAATTTCTATTTGAAATTCAGAAAATGTGTTCAAACATAAAAAATTCCAAAAAAAAAAGACTTAAGGGATATTTTCAAAGGAATCTGAAAAGGGAATAATAAAAGTTCTTTCTAACTCATTTCTGCAATCAAAAGTAGCATCAGGTCCTATATCCATTTTTTTGAAAACTCCTTTATCATAATTAATCTTGCAACTAACTAAATGTATGATAAATAAAAAAATCATTAAATATTAAAATTATATTTATTGCAAAAAATTAATAATGATTATAATTCTAACTTGAAGTGTTTTATGTTGAAGAATGATTTAAATATGCCTATAATGAAATAAATCCATTATCTTAATGATTCTATTAATTTACATTCTTGTGAATGTAATCATTTCTGAGGTTATATCAGTCATTTAGTGTATGCCAAGATTTTCCCAGATAATAAGCTGTTAATTATCTTATAATTTAAAAACAATATCAGTCCCTTTGGCCTAAAAGTAGTGTTTATATTGGCTTTATCTGTGGAAATAAACGTGTATAAGAATTAGAGGGTTTATAATTAATAGTGCAATTATATCTAGTAAATTGTCATCTTAATAATAATCCTTGAAGTAAAAAGATGTAATGTCCTTACTTTGTAATTGATTGTTAATACCTATTATGTTCTTTTTATTACCATATTATTTTTGGTAATATTTGTATTTGACTGAATCTCTTTTATATATTGCCTTGCTTCTCACCTCTTGCAAGCTTTTAAGATGATCCTTTTGTTTTTTAATTTTATTACATGCAATTTGTTTAAATGATCCAACATTCCAGGTTATCAATTTTATTCATTAACTCTCAAGTTTTTGTGGAATTTGTTCTTTGATGGGGTCTTGTTATCTTGTTTAAAGTGAATAAAACTCTGTATGATTAAGAGATATATGGTCCAGAACCATATTATTCACAGTACATTTCCTAGCTANATTAAATATTAAAATTATATTTATTGCAAAAAATTAATAATGATTATAATTCTAACTTGAAGTGTTTTATGTTGAAGAATGATTTAAATATGCCTATAATGAAATAAATCCATTATCTTAATGATTCTATTAATTTACATTCTTGTGAATGTAATCATTTCTGAGGTTATATCAGTCATTTAGTGTATGCCAAGATTTTCCCAGATAATAAGCTGTTAATTATCTTATAATTTAAAAACAATATCAGTCCCTTTGGCCTAAAAGTAGTGTTTATATTGGCTTTATCTGTGGAAATAAACGTGTATAAGAATTAGAGGGTTTATAATTAATAGTGCAATTATATCTAGTAAATTGTCATCTTAATAATAATCCTTGAAGTAAAAAGATGTAATGTCCTTACTTTGTAATTGATTGTTAATACCTATTATGTTCTTTTTATTACCATATTATTTTTGGTAATATTTGTATTTGACTGAATCTCTTTTATATATTGCCTTGCTTCTCACCTCTTGCAAGCTTTTAAGATGATCCTTTTGTTTTTTAATTTTATTACATGCAATTTGTTTAAATGATCCAACATTCCAGGTTATCAATTTTATTCATTAACTCTCAAGTTTTTGTGGAATTTGTTCTTTGATGGGGTCTTGTTATCTTGTTTAAAGTGAATAAAACTCTGTATGATTAAGAGATATATGGTCCAGAACCATATTATTCACAGTACATTTCCTAGCTAAAATATTATAGAACAAAATTTATAGAAGTAATCAATCAGCTTTTATTTTATTTCATTAATTATACGATTATAATTATGTATCTTTCCTTTTTATTAAATTACATTTTGTTCTGTTCTAACAGAATATAATTTTAATTAGTTAAAAATAATTTTTTTAGTGAATCTACTCATTTAATTACAACTCCAATTAAGAAGAGCTAAAAAATACTTGATGTGAATTATCCCAATTTATTTAAACCAAACCCTTAAATTAATGATTACATGAGTTGTAAAATATATAGTAAATATAAAAAAGATTTTACTTTTTAAATTTTAGTAAATTTAAAAATATTTTAGATTACAAAATCTTTATAGTATTCACTCTTAATGTGATAAATTTTATTGGATATCTAGCCTTTTTAGGATTGACTTTGAGAATGAAACAAACCAATAGGCACGATGATATTAAATTTTATTTAAATATAAGTAGGATTTGTTTCTAAATGTGATTTTTAGATTTTAAATTACCTGATTTGATTTTGAATAAATATAGTTTTTCCCAAGACCCACAAAAATCAAGGTTATTTCATAGACTATACTTTTAATAGCAAAATAACTTTATGTATTTAGGATTTAAATTAACTTTAAATTGCTTATTCTAGAACTGGATATTTTTATATCAACAGTAAGAAAACAGTTTTAATTTGTGGTAATAAGAAGATTTTTTTTGATAAATTTATATTGTGATATTTTCTAAAGCCTAGCTTTTATTCTCATTAAGGAAAGCGATCAAAATTAATTCAACAAGTGTAATATTATATAGAGCTAAATAATCTATTATTACAAAGTAATTCATATTATAAAATGAGGCTTTCTCTTCTTAATATTGAATAGAAGAAAAAAAATACTTATTAATAAATTTGACTTATTGTAACAAAGGTTATACTAAGAGATGATTTTTGGCTTAATTAAATTCGAAATCTAAAAATTGATAAACAGAAATGAAGCAAAGGTATTAGAAATTTTTAGCTATTTTAAAAATTATCATTTGTATGAAGAATCAATTTAGATAAAGATAATAATTAAGAATCCGATTCAATATTGGTCTTATTACTAAATATATAGAAAAGAAAAATAGCACAAATTTCTATTACCTTAGTTTATAAGTAATTAAAAGAGATTTCATATATCTTCTATATTTTATACGAATTTAATTTTTAATTTAGATATATTTCAATTTTATAAAATGTTTATATGTTAACCATTAATTTCTTTCAATTAATTTCTTTCCAATTAATGTTCTAGTTGTATTAACCATCTTATATTTTAGTCATCATTTGAATAATATTAATCTTGATGATTAAATCATTACGCTTTTATTACTATAATTGTAATTTTATTCGAAATAAATTCATAATATAAATATTGAATTTTAAAAATCATCTCTAAAGCATTTTAAGGAAATGAGTTTCTTACAATCATTAATTTAATTAATGGTCTTTCGAATAATAAGTATCTCCTATCTATTCATTATATTTAACATATTTCTTAAATACCTTATTAAAATAAAAAATCTTTATTATTCATTTTTTTATCAATATTAGAAAGAGATAAAAAGTAGATGATCCAAAGATTATTCGATAATGCCAACTTTCAAAAAAGGGGGGAATAATAAAATTTATAATTATAAACTTATGAATTTTTTCCCCTCTTATGTCTGTTTGAAATAAATTCTTTGAATAGTATATTATCAAAATTTAAAATGGTCGCTTACTCTAAAACAAAAAAATTATTAGTAAAGGAAACAATTCATGGATCAAAATCTAATTTTGATGATGGCGTTCCCACTAGTTTGACTTGTACATTTCTTATAAAAGTAAAATAAATCTGAAATTGATTATATATTTCATTTTTTATCATTATTGAATTAAAAATTATATTAATTATCATTTTGTATCTGAGTCAATAATTGGTTGTTATAAAATGATATCATTGAATTTAGATAGAATCATTTAAATACTATTTTATTTAAAATTACTTTGTGAACTTAATTAATGTTGTTAGAAACATGTTTTAATTTATTACTCGAAAATTGTTTAATAAATCAACAACAATAATTTAGTAATTTTTTTGACCAAGATTATCGCTAAATTCTGTTAATTATCGACAGATTATTCATTTATTTAGATGTGTTTATGTTTCTATAATTTACATTGGCAATTTTAATTAAAAAGAATATAATTTGTTTGCCTTGATATTTCGATGAATTTTTATTTTTTTAATCGAAGGAGATTTATTTGAAATGATAATTGTATTTTTATGTCTATATTATGATATTTAGTTTTTAGATGAAAGAAATAAAATTATTTTTATTCTTGGTGACAAAATTAGTTTTGAAAATATATGAATTTCTTCACAAAGAAATTAATTGATACGAAACAAAAATAACATCAAAATTCTTTATATCAAATTTAAAATAAAAATATACAATAATTATCTTTAATATAAGATATTATTTTGAAATTTATTTGATGAATACTATTAAAATCATAATTATTTATTTCTTATTCAATAAAATTTGTGCAATATGTATATTTATATTTGATTTCAAGCTTTTAGACTTATTTAAATTGGATACCATATTCTTAGAAAGTCTATTTATTTTTTCATACTGAATCAATCATTATTAGATCATTCCATAGAATATTCTATATCCAAGGAAAATTATTAAAATTTATTAAATTTTATAAAATTAAAGATTGTAACTTTAAACGCTAAATTTGTTTTATTCTCTAATTGTTATATATTAAAAATGCATTGTTCCCCATATTAGAACTATTATCTTATACCTCTAGACTTAATTGACCTATTTATATTTATATAATGGTGTGAGAAGCATATCTAATAATATCAATTGAATACTTTTAATTTCTGTATCATGAATCTTTAAAAAAAAGATGTTATTATATAAAAATCTCTACTATTTACATATTTTTCATTTATCCAATGATTAAAAGATTATATCTAAAATTGCAGATTCTTTTGAGATTTTCAATTTTTTATCTAAAAATAATTTATTATATCTTTCAAACTAAATAATAAAGCTACTTATTGATAAGGAGAGTAAGACATTAACTCATTTTATACATTACATCTTAAAACTTCTGACAATTATTTTACTTTGAAAATAACTCTAACTTTGTATTTTTTGATTTTACCTCTCTTTCTTCTCTAAAATATTAAAAGTATCTAATTATATATAATTTAAGCATTTTAGATCTAATCTAATGTAGATAATTATTTTAATAAATAGATCAATTAATTCCATTAATTATTTTACAACTAAATTAGATTGATCTTGCCCTTTTTTCATTATTATATGTGTGTTCTTTTTATTAAAAATAACTTAAACAAATTTAACTTTCCTCATTTCCAACTTTTTAATGATTGAACTCTATAGTTTAGAATAAAAAAGAAGTTTATAGAATTATAATTAATTGATAAAGTAATTTTTATGTTAAAGGACCCCTGCCAAAAAGATGATAATTTATATAGTTTAAACACATAATATAAAAAAAATATTATAGATGACAAAAATTAAATAAACTTGCCTTAAATTATAGTGCATAGTGCTCCATCTTATACAGAATCCAAGGAGGACTAATTTTAAGAATAATTTAGAATTTCTTGCTAGATGAATTGGACCCTGAAAAATTTTTAAAGCATATTACAATTATAAGTGGTTATTCTACTTAAAAATAAGTTTATTTAATAGGTTTGAATAAGGAACAGATACAGAAATATTTAATGCAAAAGGCTTTAAAAATAATTAAATTAATTGATATGATTGAATTAGATAATATTGACTCATTTTCAGGTAAAGTAAATGATATAATTATCCTATCACTTGTATAATGATATGGATTATATTTTAAACAATAAAATTAAATCAAGTGTTAATAATAGGGAGAGAACAAATGTTGCATTATCTAGAGCAAGATATTGTTAATTTATTTTTGGAACTTTTAAAACAATGCAGAAGAATACTCTAAATTGGAATAAAGCTATTAAATTGGTTTAGTAAAAATAATAGATAATTCACTACATCCAAGAAGACGTAGAGAATCATGATTTCTATTAAGAAAAGTTGAAATTTACACAAGATTGATTCTTATTAGGAATATTTAATTATATTTTGATCATTCGAAAAAGAATGAAACAAATAAAAAAACAGATTTTGAAAATAATTCTTCGTTATATGTTGTTTTTATCTTTTACTCCTTTTTTGTATTAGAAATTAGCTATTTACAACTTAAAGTAGATTCATTTTCTTTCATCTTTTAAATTTATTAAGAAAAAGAAAGCAATAAAATTGATGATTGAATTTCAATTCAAATCTAGATATTTTTCTAAATATCTCAATTACAAATTATATTCCTGTTTGTGAAAAGTTTGATAAAATTTTAAAAAATGATTCATAGAAAAAAATACTTGACTAGTAATCAAATAAATGGTTTTTATTATTTATTAAAATTTTATACTATTATATTCAATGCAACTTTATTATCGAAAGATGAGCTTAAAATAATCAAGTGCAAAATTTATTGCAAAAAAGACTTTCAATTAATTATTAAAGATTTACAATTAAATCTTCAGTCTTTAATAATTATTATTTAAAATGTTGAGGTTTAAAAAATATCAACGAAAAAGATAAAAAGTTATATTACAAATATGTAATACACAGAATTTATAAATTTTCTAAGAAATAATACTAAACTAAAAAGTAAATTAATTAATGCGAGAAGCAGAAATTCTTCTATAATTATCATAAATTGATGCGATTTATTCAAATTTAAAAGTTAATGACGATAGCAAGATTGATATGTTGATAAAAATAAACCATTGTTAAAATATTGTGTTTATAATATAGAGATTTAACTTATTTTTATAGGATATGAGTTATAGAAATTTCATCTTAAATAATAATCTATTAGTTATTTTTTGTCTATATCGATTTAATTATTAAATGGGTGAACAAATTAGTTAAAAGATAAATATTTGAGGTTAAATCTACTTAAAATCTAAAACTTATGAGCAAATTTTTTGAAAAATGATTTTATAAAAAATAGGACATTAGAATATCAACTCTTCAAATAATTATTGATGATTAACAAAGATAAAAAATTATATAAATTGAGTTAAACAGCATATTAATTCATTAAAATTATTTTATTTGTAATGATATTAAAATATTTTAAGTACATCAAATATGTACAAATGAAAACCTGATTCTTATCTTTCTTTTTCAGAATGTGTATCTTTGTTATATTCTTTTAAATTTATAGGTTGAACAGATAAAGTCCTTCTTTCGCTACTTAGTTAACATAATTGATTTCAAAAATTGAAACTGCCATTATAAAAGAATAATAAATTTTAGAATTAATAATTCCTTTTGATCATAAAATTAAATATATTATTTGCTAACATAAAAAAATGATTTAATTTATTGATAATATCTTTTAATCGAAATCTCACTAAAAGATTTCAAATTCATTTCATATAAATATTGAATTTTATAAGCTATGGACAATATTCCATAGTAAAACCTATATTATTAACAAATAGATTATTTAGATCAATAACTTTAATTCATTTAATTAATTAGATATATGTTACAGTATAAAATGATAGGAAATGAAGGTAATTTTGTGTTGGATGAATGATAAGCTTCCAATTTATATGATTGTTTGCGATATAATTAAAGACTTTTATGAATAGAATGTATGGATAAGATGATTATCTTAATTATCTTATGAGTTTTTAAAACGTTGTTTAATTGATTGAAGAAATAAAAAGGCGCAGTTATCATCTTTATAAAGTGTTTTTATGATGAATACAAAATTGATTGAAGAATTTTCAAAGATATAAAATCTAATTAAATCATAAATTATTTAACTATTAGATTAGCTAATTTAGACTACAAATGAATGGATTAATAGTTTATAATAATTTGCATCATAATATTACCTATAGTTTCTTCGAAAAGTTAGATAATCTATAAGAACCATTTATTAATTGAATATAGATAATTAATCCCTCATGGAATTAGAAGAGTGAACGAATATTATAAAAATTATAAAATATTAATTAAGAAAAAGTAATCTAAAACTAAATTTATTAAATATAAGGAGGATAAAATATTAATAATATTAATAATATTTATTAGAATTTAAAAAAAATTACGAGAACATATTAAATAGGAATAGATTTAGTAAGTATAATATGGAAATAATATTGAATTTAAGTATATTGATGATCTAAATGAATAGATTTAATCTAGTTATGCTGGATCATTTATGATATATAGCATTTTAATTTGGAATATAAATTAAGGTAGGTTAAAATTATCCAATCGATTTGGAGCACATAACAATTATGTTAGATGTTAAGGATATCTCATAAATATGGATTGTTTTATTTCTGGTTCTTATGATAAATCAATCATTTGCTGGATCAAGAGAATAACCCAAATGATGGAAGTGGTCATAACCAGACTTATAATATAATGGTTATATTTTATGATTGATATTCAATAAACAAGAGGATTAATTCATTTCATGTAATAAAGTAAAGACAAAACAATTCAATTAAACAATAGTAATTAATGTAGGAATTATTCTATTTTATTTCCAATTGTATTTAATAAAGATAAAATTATGGTTAAATATAAATATAATATTAATTTAATTAGGTAGGTTAATGATGGTCAGTATAAAATTATAGGATCTTGAGTGATTTTTGGAACAATGACTAATAATGCATAATATTTATCGTTTTATATAACAATTAATCGAAATATAATATATATGAGTTATTTAACAAATGAAAAATATAATAAAAATTAATTATTAACAAGAATTGAATTATAAACAGTTTTCATGCAAAATCAGGACAGCAAGAATTTAAGGAAGACAAACCTATTATTAAAATAGTTAAATAATTTTATAAGATAGTTTATCAAAAATTAAACATAATTAAACCAAAATTATTATTTTTTGACCTTCCAAATATGATAATCTCAAATAAAAAGGTCATATTTTTCAAGATATATATGATATACATTCCAAACAACCACATTTTCTTCGTAATTTTTTATTTTAGATTAGATTCTAAGCAGCAAAATAAAAGCTTATATTTTTCCAACAAAAAATTCAACTTACATTAAATAAAGCAAAATATTAAAAAAATAATCGGAAACCAAAATAATAAAAGCATAAATTATTCTATATTATTCAATTATCATATTTAATTTGTTTCACTTTTTGATGCAATATATTTCTAATGTTCATTTCTTCCCATATACCAACTTTCCTACCATTCATATTATATTCCCCATTTTAAGTCATATACCAAACTTCTCCTACTTCAATCCACTTCCCTATTTTATATCCTGACAAATTATCATAATTTCCACCTCCACTAACATAATGATACTTATATTTTTTACATTAGTTATCCTTTTAACCATGATATATCCCATCTTCCAACCTTCATACCCTTCATATTATATTCTCCATTTTAAATGAGTTATTTTTCACTTTCAAATCCTTCAATTAATTCTACCCATACACCAAACTTAATTCCAAAAGAATCATATGATCCGCCACCACTAAAAATATATGTTGATTGTATATACATATATTTATATTATTCCTCCTTATATTTATCGAACCATATGCTCCATTGACCTATCTTCGTACCATTCATATTATAATCACCTTTATAAATGATTGAAACTCCATCCCCAAAACCTTCTGAAAACTCTACCCAGCTTCCAATTTTAACTCCTAATGTACTATCATATGATCCACCCCCACTAATATATTTTTGTTTATGAATTTTACATTTTTTTTCTATTCAATCTTTTAATATCCCATCTACCTACTTTCATGCCGTTCAAATTATATTCCCCCTGGTAAATAATTGATGCTTTATCAGTAAAGCCTTCCCACAATTCTACCCAAATTCCAATCTTGAATCCGGATGTACTATCATATGATCCACCACCTCTGCTTGACTAGTTATTTTAAGTTTACATTTATTTATAACGTCCCTTTTCATCAAAACCAAAAATCATATCCCAACTCCTATCAAGCATTAAAATTATATCCCATCTACCTACTTTCATACCATTCAAATTATATTCCCCCTGGTAAATAATTGATGCTTTATCACTAAAGCCTTCCCACAATTCTACCCAATTTCCAATCTTGAATCCAAAAGTACTATCATATGACCCGCCTCCACTAGAATTACTAAATATAATATTTACATTTATGTAGATTATTAGTAATCATATTTTGCATACATAATATCCCATCTACCTACCTTTATACCACTTCTATCATAATCACCCTTATACAAGACTGTAGCTTCATTTATAAAACCTTTCCACAATTCTACCCAACTTCCAATCTTATTTCCCAATATACTATCATATGTTCCACCACCTCTAACATAAATATACTAATAATATTTACATTTTTTCACCCCATTTTTATTTCTAAAGTCTATAAAACAAAATATCCCATTTGCCTATCTTTAAACCAATTAGATTATATTATCCATTAAAAGTTATTACGGCTCTATCCCTAAAGCCTTCCCATAACTCTACCCATTTACCAATCTTTATTTCTTAAGAACTATGATATAATCCACCACCACTATAATATTTTTATTTATAATTTTTACATTTATTGATATTGTTCATTATTTGTCAAACAATAATATATATCCCATGGACCTATCTTAATGCCCTAATTATTATATTCCCCAATATATATTATTTAACTCTCACTAATTAATTAATTAAGAAATATAATAATACTCCCAAAATTCATCATTTAAATCTATCCATTTGCCATTTTTACAACCATACTTATTATAAAATCCACCCCCACTAAACAATTATCTTAAAAATTATACATCATTTTATTTTTATAAATGTATTTCCATCTCCCTATTTTTTAATCATCAAAATATTCTCCTTCTTAAATTACAATAACCTAACTAAATCCTGCTTTTTAGTTATCATTTACCTACAATAATTTTTCATTAAATCTTTCCATTATCCTATCTTTAAACCACTTTCTGAGTAATATCCTCCAACTTCCTAGAGAATTTATTTGTTCCATTTAGCATCCCATTTTGCAACTTTCTTGTGATTTTCTCCATATTTCCCAATCCAATCAAGATTTTTTAATTATTCTAAATTATTGAAGATATCTATATGTGAAATAAAAAAGTTTTTAATCCTATTTAGAGTTTGTTAAATAATTTACAGTTTAGTTATCTAGCCATCTTAAATGTATATAATTTCATTCTCATTAGTAATTTCTATTTAGCATTTTGACTTCTACCATCTTTGTTTATATGTATTGAAAAACAGCAATTCATGTTCTTGAGCACTACTAAAGTATATATTATTGGTAATTAAAATTTCTTGCTTTTCTGGTTTTTTAGTATTTGATAAAATGCTTTCCCTAATGTCTTCTTCGTTTTCCTTTTATGCAATTTATTGATTTGAACAAATAATTCCCATTTAAATAATAAACTTTAAAGAGATTATATTTAAAAATTGTTATGCTGGAATATGTAAGAAATTAAGTTCTTATTTATCATTTTTTATATTGATTTTATTAGCACTATAAGAACTTAAAAAAACTCTTGTCAATAGAGTTGCAAGTTGGCGAAAATCAAATTAAAAAAGAAGAGGAGAATTTTTTTTACCATTAATCATGAATCTGCCAAATAGAAACGTTAAATTTATATAAGTTAAAGTATTCAAATAATTGAAAGTAATATAAAATGATTAAATAAGAGCGGCAGTTTAAAGATTTTAAATAGTTATAAAAAATTTAACAAAAAAAGGAATTATCAGTCTTAGAGTTAAGAGTGATTTTAAGAGAATCTTAGTAGAATCTCAAGTAGTACTTTTATCAACTTATTTCTTAATATATTTATTATTGGTATTTTAAGGATCTTAAAGCCTAATCAGTTATTTTATTTTTTTCTCATTTAAATTATATCAACCACTATAATATTGAATAATATTAGTATCAAGAAAGAATAAAGCTTTACTAATCTTTTTATAATTAGTTTTAATATTTGGAGTTTAAAAGATAATTTTGCCTTTAAAAATAGCCTACATTATGAATCTCAATAGTAAATCATTTTGCGATTAAGGAACGTTCATTGTTCCATTCAAGACCTCAGAAGCTATATAATTAGGAGTTACAAAAATTGTTAATTTTTGGAGCTTTAACTCTATTATGTTCAAAATTTGTTTAGGTTTAAATTTGAATGATTTAATTATTTTTAAAACTATTCTAACTTTGAATAATTATCTTTTTATTAGAAGTATCATTTCTCTTTCTATGTTTATCTACTGTCTATTACATTTGGCTCTAATATATATTCAAATTTAATGAAAATTATTTTTAAAACTAAGAACACATTTAATCTATTTAAGTTTTTCTTTACAATTCATAAAATAATTAATGGAAAATATAATTACAAAATATCATATTTCAATATTTAATAATTAATAGTTTCTCTAAATCTTAAGTCAATATCAATCTCCAAATATATATTGCTTTTGTAAGTAGTTATATTAATAGCAAATTGATGAGCCTTTAATTAAATACGAAAATTTTATTATTAAGAGATGGTAATTTAAAATAAATAACATTAATTCAAATTATCGAATACAAATAGAGATAATTCATACAAAATATATTGGTTTTTCATATGAGTTTAAATATTCCTCCTTTACTATTATGTCGATTAGTTATAGTTATTTGATATAATTTATTAATTTTTTAGTAAATATAAGATAATAGAAAGATACAAAATATTTTAACAAAATGAACTTTTAAACTGAAATTCTTTGAATGATTGATTGACAAAATTTTGGAATCAAATAACATAATCAATGAAATTTATTATGATTATTAGTAAAAAGATATTTAGTGAAAATAGAAATTCAAATCATTTTTACTGAGGAGAAAAAAAGTAATATCTTCAAAAAAGATGGTAAAACTTTAGTAATGTAAATATTCTTCATAAGTTATAAAAACGAATAAATTTATGAACCTTCCAAGAAATCATAAATATTTAACAGATTGAATATCTTTATTGTTTAGATAATTATACACTCAACAATAGGAAGGTAATAGTAAAATTATTAGGAAATATTTTATACTACATAGATGGGTAAAAGTAAGGATGATGATAGAGATAATCGAAAATTATGGAAAGGAAATTAATAGTAAAGCATTAGTTAGAGAATATTATAATGACTTTAAAATTGGTAATTGGAATTATATTTTATAGAATAAAAAGACGCAAATATTTTATTAATAATGAAGCTTTGGTTGGTTCTACAATAAAGATAATAATAAGCAAGGCAACTGATTGATTTGAATGTAAAATTTTATTTGGATAAATAAATATTATTTCAATATATAAAAATTAAAATAAAGAATATCCCTTATTCATATTATGAAAATAAATAATATTTAGAAAGATTGTTAATAAATCACCAACTATTTTATTTAGTAATTTAGAATCCAAAATTATTCATCTATTAAAATTTTTACAATTAATTATTAACAGTATTAAGATAATTTTTTCATTTATAAAAAATTCTTCTTTTAGTGCTTCTTTTTAGATACTTTTTTTGAAATAAAGAATTTCAAAGTAATTAAATTTAAATTATTACTCTATTGTGATACAATTATTGTATATTATTTTTATATTTAGTGAAATATTCATTTAGAACTTTTCATAAAATTTTAAATAAATGAAATAATTTCCAATTTGTAATTAAGATTGAATATTCAATTTACACGTCTTCTATTATTATTAATAAACTTTTAAATGAAGAGAGAAAAGTAAAAAAAATTGATCACTGAAGAGTTAACATGGGAACAACATGTTATTTGTGGTATAATTTCCCTTAATGAAAGGAAATCAATCATATGAATCAGGTAGAAGTGATGAAGCATTGCTAGAATATGATAAGGCTCTAATCCTAAATCCAAATAATTCATTGATCTATCATAATAGAGGTTCAGCAATTTTAGGATATTTTAACTAGGAATTTTGTATTACAACATGGAGAATAATCAATAGGCATTACTTGATTATAATAAAGCCATTGAATTAAATCCATTAGATTAAAAAATATATAATAATAGAGGTAAATATTATTCATTATAGAAAGGGATCTTATATTCAGATATAGGAAGACAAGAAGATGCATTAGATGACTTTAATAAAGCCATTGAGTTAGACCCAAATTTTTCAGATGCCTATCATAACAGAGGTTATTAAAAATATAAATATATATCAGCTATGCTCTATGTTGATTTAGGAAGACATCAGGAGGCTTTAAGTGATTTTGACAAAGCTATTGAATTAAAAGCTTAATCAAACTTATATAAAAATAGAGGTTTCTTCATCATTAATATTTCAAGGAATTCTATTATTTAATTTAAATCGATTTGATGATGCTTTGAAAGATTTTAATGAAGCCATTAGCCTTAAAAAAAGTGATTCTACTTTATACCTTAACTTAGGTTTGAATTTATTTTAATTTTATTAGCTATTAGCTTATAATAATTAAATAGATATGAAGAAGCTTTAGTGTAATTTAATTAATCAATTAAATTAAATAGTAAAGATTAAAAGGCTTATAAAAGTAGAGGTAAATTTGTATTAACTATTCAAAGGAATACTTTATTCAAATTTAGATGAAATTCAATTAGCAATATCTGATCTTACTTAAGCAATTTTACTGAAATCAGACGATTTTAATGCTTATTTCCATAGAGGCAATCTTTTTTTATTTACATATTAGCAAATCAGTATTGGAAACAAAATCAACTAAATTTAGCTTTATGTGATTTTAATAAATCTATTAGACTTAATCCTAAATATTAAAATGCATATGATTGTAGAGGTAATAAAGATCTTTCCTTAATAGGTATCTTATATCTAGAATTGGGTTAAACAAGCAAAGCTGAATAAGACTTCAATAAGTCGATTGAATTAAACTCAAAAAGTTCTATTTCATTCAATAATATGGGTTAACAATATATCTAATATTTAGGAAACTACTTAGTAAACTAAGAAAATTATTAAGAAGCATTAAAATATTATTAATAAGCAATATAACTTGATCCAAAAAATTCTCTTTATTTGATCAATCTTGGTGAACTGAGCCTTAAGATGAATAATCTTTAATAAGCTTCTCTCTATTTTTTATAAGCCAATTCTCATCTAAATGTAAAATAACACTAATAGTTTTCTAACATTTTATAATTTATAAGCAAAATGCTACCTATATTACTTGAAATTATTTTTTCATTTGAAAAAGAAATAAATTTAATAAAAACCTATCCACTAGAATCTTTCATCAAATTAGAATTAATTAATGAAATTTAAAAAATTGAAACTTCTGTTGAAAATAAATTAAAAATCATATTATAACCAATATCTCTTTAATCCTAACAATATTATCTTTTTAATTAAATTGAGTAACTACAAGAAATAGTATAAGATATTCAAATAAAGTTTTCATCAATTCATTAATCCCTCTAAAAGGAAGAAGAACTATATATTAAAGAAATGGAAAATACAATATCTATAAACATCACTAAAATTAAGACAGAAATTGCTAATTTATAGAATGAATAAAATACTAATAAATTTATTTATTTCAAATCCTTATGTTACAACATCATATCTTTTATGTCATTTTGTTTAGATATTTAATAATCTGATACCATCATAAAAGAAAGTTCGATTAGAGAGTAAAAGCAAGGATTATTCCCAAATTAATTGTGCACATTTAAAGCAGAAGATTATCTAATTTTAAATAATGTTATGGAATCAATCTTTTAAATAATATTTAAAGAACTTGGATACTAAGAAAATCTAAGAAAAATAATAATTGACAAAAACTTTGCTTAATTATACTTTATTTAAAATGAAGATTCTAAAAGATTAGAGATAGATTTTCACCTTCTTGCTATTGATTTAGCTTTAGAATAACAGGAAGTTGTTCAAATAAACGCATATTTTGATTGTGTTGAGAAAATATCAAAAATTTAAATGAAAGAAATTTCGATTGCATCAAATATATTTTGGAAAAAAGGAATATCAGATTCGATTGAATTAATAAAATTTATAGATAATAACCTAAATAAAATTCAATCAAATGGGTTATAGTATTTAAAAATTTTTAAGGAAGAACTTTTAAGAGAAGAGGTTATTGTGATTCATGAATCAATTTGCCAGCCTCTTATGGCAGTGCCCTCTTTAAGGAATGAATAGACAACTTGCTGTTCTATTTGTTCATTATAATGATAATTTTATATTTAAATTTAGTAATTAATAGTTTTATTAAAACAATTTCTTAAATTAAATTTAAGTAATATAATAAATCAAGACATTTATATGTCATTAAAATTAAATATCAGGTTTATAATGAAGAGATTTTTCTTCAGAATTATTATATTTGATTTATTTATACAATTTAACTAGCTTTTTTAAATATTTGCTAATTGTAAAGACTCATCACAATATAATCATAATTGATATGAAACTTTTTTATTTATTTGTTTTTTTTTTCATTTTACACTTTCTGAATTATAGTAAATTTAAAATGAATTTTTATATCGTTTAAATAATTGCATTTGATAATCTAAAAAATTATTGTTATATTTAAGTAAATCCTGCACCATAGTGAATTTAATTAAATTTTTACTTTTTTTACGGAGATAAATTTTGTTTTATTTTCATCTTTAAAAATATTTAGGATGCTTTAAATTTATTTTTTATTTGGTCATCAAACGTCCTTTAATCTTTCAAATTTTATATAAATTCTCCTTATGCAAATGCATTTGAGTTTAGCGGCTTTAGTTTTCAATTATCCTCTCCATTTGTCAAGCCTATTTAACTAAAGAACTTTGTTTTTAGGACAATCTGAAAATATTTGTAAGAAGATATTTTCCAAATATCTTTTTCCTCTCTATTAGTTGCAAAGATATAGACTAAATTGATAAACAATAATTATCTAAAATTTTTGAAGTTTTCAACATGGAATAGCAAAATTAGAACCTAGAGGACATTTTTTGAATTAACATTTTTTGGTAATCTAACCCTATGTAATTGATATAGTTTCAAGATGAAAATATGTGAAATAGTCAAGATTAAATTAAATTAATTAAATTAGATTTAAGAAATTTAAATCCTTATTTTAGCTATTTAAAAATATAAGAGATCTATTAATAAATTTTTTATGACCTGTAATTACCAATCTATTCATATATAATTTTCTTATTCGATTTATTATTCTCTATATCACTTCTATAATAATAATTTTTTATTTAGCAATTTTATCTTGCTATTTATAAAAGCCTATCTTTTGAAATTAAATTAGGATCTTATAATATCATCTTACAGAGGAAACAAATCTTTGTTGGTTATTTTAGTAAGAATAATTTAATTTAGTTTTTAAAATGGATCTTTTAAATAAAAAAGATAATTCACTCTATTTAAATCATTAAAAGTAACCTTTTTATATTATTAGTGAATTCAATTTTTAACATTAACAGCAGATTAATGCTTAAGTGATATACAATATATTTAATTAATCTCTTCCTAATATGATTTTAATTTTCATTTTAATTTGCTATCCAATAATATATTGATTATGATAGAATTTAATTCTGTTTAATATATTGTAGAAGGAGTATTAGTAACAACCCAAAGTTTTGACACACAAGAACCATTTAGTGATAGATTACTTATGATAAAATTACAGACAGAATATATTTCAATTTTCACATGATTTTACTTGTGATTTATTAGGTGTAAAAGCTATGTATTTAACAGATTTAAAGTTAATTATTGTAAATTATTATATTCTTCATTTCATTTCTTACAATTTAGTAGAATTAAACCTTCGAACATAAATAAATTTAAAGACAAAAAAACTTTAATTATTATTAATATTATACAAAAAGAAATTTAAATTGAAATTCGTTTAATAAAGGAATATCAAGCTATAGAAACAATAGTGCAGTTACTGGAAGAACTACAAACGAAATTTTATCTAAAAAATGTTAGTGGATACTGATTTTATCCAAAGTTTAAATCATTAACTGGTTAGTTTTTGGTGGGAAAGAGCTTGAAGATTTTTTTATTTAAACAACTAATTTTTAGGATTTGATAAGATTTTAATGATAAACTATCTTAAAACTGTTCTTGGAAAATTCTTAATAAATTGTATAAAAAACAATCAACAAAATTTGTGAAAATTTGTAAGCTAGAGAAATAGATATTTTAGAAAAGCACTGACTAAAATTTCTAATTATTCAAAAAAAATTTCTTTCTTTTATATTAGATAATTTTATTTGTTCATCAATTAGGATAAAAAGGAAAAAATGGATTCCTACTGAGATTTAATAATCTTTATTTTTCAAACTTATAAGTCTATATAGTGTGTTGACACTCATTAATTCATGCAATCAATTATATGGATCAATTAAGGTAATTCTGGATAAATAGATTTAAATTATAGGAAAATAAATTATAATAAGAGATTGATAAACACTGTATTGCTTTCATTACAAGCAAATTCTTATAACTGGGAAGAGTGTAAATATTTCGTTTCAGTTAATCCTTTGAATTTTTGTTTAATTAATAGCAATAATATTATAACGTTATTCACCAGATCTATTTTTTCTTTACGATTTACTAGGATTAGAAGCATAATTTCAATAAGAAAAATATCTAAAACTTGATTATTATATATTATGTGAAGATTTTATCTATTAAACTTTCATTTTAGTGATTTTAAGTCTATATTAGATAATTTTTTTCTTATTTAACTAAACATAATTCTTAGGTATTTCAATATTAATTTTAATAGAAATAAAAATGTTGATAAATTGTACTTAAGCATCTCATTAAGATCAAAAAATAATTGGATTTTGCATAGATAGTTCATGCCTGAGTTAAAGACCGTATTGTCATTTTTGTTTGATTTCCCATTGTCATCATCTGAACAAATTAACAACTTAGGAACTATTATCAGAATGGATGAAGGAAAGAATCCTTACGGTTTAAAATGTTTAAAAAAATGTTCAAGAGTGTAAAATTGCTCTTGACAATCTGATAAATGTGTTTTTTCCTTATTCCAAATTTAGTATGGAATCATTTTCAGAATTAGGAATCTCACAGATTGACTAATTAATAAAAAGTATATGTTAAATAGAAGACTGTGAAGAAAAGTTATTTAAATAACTTTAAGAATCAATCGAACAAATAAAATAGATTGTAAATGAAATATTAAAAAAAATAAAGAGTCGAACAAACATAAATGAAAATAATAAATAAATTTCAAACAATTCTGTAGATTAATAAAATTTAGAATAACCGAATAATCAGTTTAAATAAAAACCAAATCTTAATCCATTCACATTTGACCTCATTAAGGAAAATTCAATTAAGTAACATTAATGGTGTGGTGCTATTACTTTCAATAAAGATAGCTCAATTGTGGCAGCGGGATGTGTGAAGGATATCAAAGTATTTCTAAATTTAAGAGGGAAACTGAATTAAATATAATTGTTAAGTGAGCATGCAAAAGATGTTTGCACTTTAAAATTCATGAAAAATACAAATAATTTTGTATCTGGAAGTGATGATAATTTAATAATAATATGGTAAGCGATTGAAAATAATCAGTGGAAAATTTATTAAAAATTGAACGGACATTAAAATCGTATATATTGTATATTGCTGAACAAAGCTGATGATCAAATTATCTCTAGTAGTCAGGATAAAACAATAAAATTTTGGATGGGATAGAGTTAATGGTCGTGTTAATAAACCATAACTGATCATTCTCATTATATATATTCATTAAGCTTAAATGAACAATCTAATAAATTGATATCTTGTTCATAGGATTAATAAATATTAATAATGGAATAGTAAAATTTAGATAAATTATGGTTTGTTATATAAAAAATTAAATTAAGTTAATTAGGATACAGATTATGTTTTATTAATGATGATCAATTTACATTCTAACCTTTTTCTAAAGATTAAATGCATGTTTATGAAATGGATAGAGACAATTAATAATTTAGGAAAACTAAGGAAGTTGCGGTAAAGTGTGGTTAAAATATTGATTATTATTTATTTCCATAATAATACTTATAGTCTAAATGTCTCCTTGTAAATAAGAATAGCAAAAATGTTAATTTAATTAGGAAGAATGAAAATGGGGATTTTATAATTTAATAGTCTATTGAATTTGGTACTTATTAAATTTTTGGATAATTAAGTGATGATGGAGAGTATTTGATCACTTGGGATAATGAATCAAAGGAAATACAAATAAGAAAGTGTAGAGAATTATGAATTATATAAGTTATTAATTATATTATTTAAGAATTTTTAATTACAATTTATTTGATCTCTTACATTATTATTAAACCAAAAATCATTTATTGTATTTATTGATTTTGCTCATCATAAAAAGTTGAAATAGTGTTAATTAAAAATTTGATGAGCTTGCAATATAGAGTGAGAATTACAAAGTTGCCTTTTGAAATGTTATTCCATGAGGAAGTTTATTATCAGCCTTATAATGTCTTCTCTCGTTACTTTGAATTAAATTTTATAAGATCTATTATATTTATATAAATGATAAATCTATATGATTCAATATTTTTTTAATTGATCATATTATCTAGATAATTAATTTGTTCCTTTTGGTCCATTTTCCTGAAATTTAGTTGTTCCTCTGTAAATTTCTGTCCAGTCGAATTCTCTATCAAGTTTTAATCCATTAGTTAGGGATTTGTACATAAATAAGGAAAGTAAATATCATTTATCAGGATCAGATGAATATTGCAATAACATATTAGAATTTATGAATAAGTAACATAGTTACTGATAAAATCTTAAAGACAATAATGATATATTTATCAAGTCAGAGTTTCTTTGCAAACACTTACAAAATCTATTTGTATCAAATAAGATCTTTTTAAGTTTTAAATGATTTGAAATTTATATCTATTATGTTTGATAATAATTTACAAATTGCGTTCAAACAGCCTTTCTAAAAAAATTAATTCAAAAATCAGCTCAGTGATTCTTTATCTTTTCCCAGTCATACAATTTTTAGTATCATTCACATCTCTTAGAATTAGTTCTTTGTAAATTTCTATAAATTTATAAGCACTTTCTATTTACATCTATAATATGTATTGATCTAATAAAAATTATAACCTAGAAGTTTTGTTTATTCATTTAAAATTTACTTTGAAGTAAATTCTCCTTCCCTACTTTTATTGCAAAGTATTATTTGCCTTTTGTTTTTATTTTATTAATCAACTTGCAATTTAGCCTTATTATTCTTATTTAGATTTTCGAAATAAATCAAAAGTTGGAAGAAAATCTTTAAAATAAGTATTTTTTTATAAGATAATCAATAAAGTTATTAAGATTACTCTAAATATTAAATGTAACATCTGTCATATTCATTGCAAAATTATTAAATAGTGTTTGAGATATCATTTTCAAGATAAGATATTTTTTTTGCAAGGATTAAATTAATTTTCTCTTTATAAATATATATATTGAATTAGCTAGAATAGAAGAAGGATCTTGAATTTATTCATTGATTTTCAGGCAGCTGAAGGAAACAAAGATTATATTTACCAAGAAATGTAATTTTTTAATCTCATTTTTATACATATTTTACTTCATCATCGATATTATCGATTCTCAAGCTTAATTTATTCAAATATGATCTATTAGCTTTGTTTTAAGAGAATTAATTTCTTAAGGAAAATTTAGCTTAAATTTTTTTATCTTATTATATTTTCATTGCTTTATTAATAAATTTATTATTAGATAAATAAAAGAAGGATATGATTTATCTTAACAATTATCAATCTGTTTTAATTATACATCAGTCACCTCCAATCTGATTATTCGGCACTTATTTTTTATTAAGTTATTATTAACTAAATACTTCATTCATAAGTATACTTATCACAAGATTTTGCCCCAGTTTTTAATCGATAAAAATGCTTAATCATTCAACATTTATTTCATAAAGAACTGCTGAAAATGATTAAGCCCTATTCAAAGAAAGTGCTATTTCATGTTGATGTTGATAATATAATATTATTTATTCTTATAAGATTCTTGATAATTTTTACTTCTCACATGAAGATAATCAACCTATTTCATCACATCTTTAAGTTTAAATAAATCATAATTGGAGTTACCGAAAGACAACTTTATCAAAATGTAAGGTAAATTTAAACCTTATTTATGCATGTAAATATTTAAATTAAAAAATATTAATCTTACAAAATAAAACTAGATAAAAAATCTCTAAAATAAATGGAAAATTAATACGAAATCCAAAATAATAAATCTTATATCTGGGATTCAAATCTAGACTATTCATATGAAGCTAATGCAAATTTATTTGTGATTTCACATACTGATAAAAAAATTGAAAATTTACATAAATAAATTATTGGCTTTAACAGATAAAAAAATTAATTGGAGATTCAATTATAATCTTTAAAGAAAACTAAGTCAGAAAAGAGACTAAAATTAGAGCATAGATGCTAGTTTGATGGAATTTATTATATTTTAGTTTTTAATTTTTCTAAGGAGAATTTATATAATTAATTAAAGTATAATAGATTTCTTAATGTTATTTATATATATTTTTTTATGAAGAAATTAGAAATATGTGCTGAATCTATAAAAATTTCAAAAAATAGCACTTATATTTTTAAATATAAAATCTGAAATATAAAATTTGAAAAAATGGATGAATTTATTTTTAATTAATAAATAGCAAATATCAAGTGCAAAATCAACTAAACTATTAAAGCAGATCTATAGCATTTTAATTTTTACTATCAATAGTCTAAATCTCAAGATTAATTAAGAAGTTGTGAAAAGTTTTTTTAGATGATTTGAATCAATATGTGAAATTTAAAGTAAATTTCATTCAACTAATATAGTATAAAGGCAAAATATTAATATATTAATGTAGAAAATTCTTTCAAGATGAAGCATCAAAATCTTTATCAACTTATGGATAATGTAATAAATTTAGAAAAGAAAAAAATTAGCAAATTAAAATTTTGCAAGATATAAATAATGGTAATTTTAATGCTCAAAAAATTTAATACTTCCGAAAAGACATTGATACATCTTGTGCTTTAAAATGAAAAATTATTGTCAATAGTACCTAAAGCTGAATTGCATGATACAATAACAGATACTTGCTGAGCACATGATACACCCTGTAAATTAAGCTGTAACTTTTTTTGATTACATATCTAAAGAGATTGTCGTCGTTTAGAGCCAAAGAAAATCGTATCGAAACAACAATAGGTTTTGTGTGTTTAGAATCAACATTAAATGCTGGTGCTGTTTTTGTAAGAATTTAGCTTTTAATATTCAATTCTGCATGCAATTAAATATATTTAGAAGAAAGTAAGGAATTTGAAACTAAATCTTACAGTTTTATTCTCTTATGTATAGCAAATTTATGATGTATAGATAACACTTGTGATTTGATGTATGTAATAAATGTTTATCAACGTGTATTTGAAATGTTGAAAATGATGAAATACAACTTGAGTAGCAACATAGGATAGATGCACTAAATTTTCAAAGCTAAAGAGTGCGATCATGCATATGTGAATTCAAAATGTAAATTATTAGATTTTGAATAACTCTTCAACTAATGATGATTGCAATACATATTCTAATAAATATGCACTGATGTATGTTAAGGATTTACAACAAACTGCACTGATTAAAATAGGAGAAATAATGTTATAAAATAATTAAAGAGTGTTTAAAATTAAGAAATGTCACTTGTGATAACATTGAATATTGGTTGTAGCACTCATAGCTTTTCCCTTATAAATTTCTACGATCAGCATCTAACTTGCATAGTCAAAAGTATTTCGGGTAATAATGTAATTCATAAATGATTTATGACTTTTGGAAGTTGTTTGTCATATAAAGTAAAAAGATTTATGTGGTAAAGATTTATCAAAAAATCCATGTAAATGGAGTTGTAATTGCTACATCATCCACACGAGCAATCGTTATTAATTTAAGATAAAAATCAAAAAATTAACTTTAGCAAGACTTGTATTACTGATGATAATACATACAGTAGTAAAAATAGTTGTAAAGTTGATTAAAATCTTATGCTAAAAATATTACTTTACAGTTTCAGCAGATAATACCTCATTTTCTGCTTTGGATGTGGGTGAAGAAAATTGTAAAATGAATGACTGAATAGTAGATATGCGGATAGAATGGAGAAGATTATTTAGATAATAAATGCACAGTTGCTGAATTGATTTACCTGTTTTTGTTTAAATTTTATAAATTCATTGATTAATAAATATAAATAATATTATCTAAACATTAATAATAGATAAGTCGAATTAAGAAAAATAAAATAATGTTTCCGTAAATAAAGCCGCTGATTAAGGTAATTAGACTAGTAAAAAATTCTTACTTTGATTTGCAAGAATGCATCTCAAGACTATATAGATGACATAAAATTTGAGTTTATTACTCAAGATAGTACTACTCCTTGATATATAAAGATTTCTTATTTATAACAAATGATTAATGTAATCAAGCATTACGAAAGAATTCATAAGTTGTTGATTCATATGACATAAAATGTTAATGGAATTAGAGAAAGAGCTTGCGTTAACAGTCTAAATAAATAGACCATACTTATAGATTTGTGAGAACAGGTTACTCTTATCATAAATGCGAAAATTCAGTCATATTCTCTCAAAATAAAAAAGAATTATTTATTATGAGAGAATATTAAAGTTATTATAAAAATAGCAAAATTAGATAAAAAATTGGGATAGTGCTTTAGAGTATTAGGAAGAATATCATTTGCACTATCTTCTTTTATATAATTAAACAAAATTGCTATTTCTCCTTATCAAACTAGAGTTTCACCTTTACTTCTTGCTATACCTTCTCCAAATATTTATCACTACAAGAACTATCATAATTTTTCCATTTGATTGGTTTCTTGTATAGATTTAAGAATACTTTTTTTGTTAAACATTCTAAAAATTTTGTTTCAAAATGGATTTTTTGCTTAAGAATTTTATTTATTGAAATCTTCATCTAAAGCTACAATTATAGACTATTGGCATCCATTGATAACTCCAAGTAATTTATTTATAACTTCTTTTAAAATTGATTCTTTAAACATATTTTATACTTTAATTGAGTGAATACAATACGATTTTATACAAGATATTCATAAAACTTTATTCAAACTTAATTTTAAATTGGAGAAAAAAGAAGAATATTATTTTTACTTTTCA